TTTTTCCACCTTTGTCAACTTGTTCATAAGAGGGGACATTAGGGCAAACAAAACATTTTGTCAAATGAAGAAGGATCGAAGTCATTTCCTTTGGATAAAATTCCTTTTAACGAGGGTTGATGGAAGAACCAAATGCGACACTCGTGAGGCACGTGCGTGATATTCACATTTTACCACGAGTAAAATCCCAGCTATTAGATGGTGGCGATTGGTGGCGCACAGCGGTGGGAGGGCGAGTGGGGGGGCGGTTGAATAAGGGCAAAGAAGGGAGTTGGGAAAAACAGTTGGGAGTAAGATTGGGAAAATATGGAAGGCCGGTGATGGGCCCATTTTAACTTTGATATTGGTCCGTATTCTGATGATCTACAATCTGGTGGGAGAGAGAGACACAAATTCTTTGGTTTCGTGGTCTCATTCAACCAATCAATTATTCATTATCTTCCCCTCTCTAATTATTCTCTCTTGGAATTTTACATTATGCTTTTCTGCTTCTCTACCTCACTCATTCACTCGCTCGTTTTTCTAGTGAACTTCTATAGTCTTCCAAAAAAAAGAAAAAAGAAAAAAAGAAGTGGACTTCTATAAGGTACCCTTCAAAATCCAAAAATTATGAAAAGAGAAGCAATATGTATATAATCCCTTCTCGAATGATTGCATGTTTTGATTTTGAATAGATTATCTTGTCATAAAATTGATGAGTTGCACAGTTACTTATGATCATGTAAATACTGTCTATTTTACGCTTTTGAGAATAATAATGTATACCGAAATCCCTTGAAATGATTCCATCTTGCGACATATATATAAAATTGTGCGGAACATGAAAGATAAATATTGTATATATGGAGTTTCAATAACTGCTTGCATACATAGCCAAATGTAAAGGCAAAGTTACTTCCATTTTCTACATGATTGGAGTACTGGTCGTTAGAGTTAAGTATGTATATAGAGGATTCCTTTTGATTCATGCAATTAAAATTCCTAAAGACAAAGTTACTTGACGAGGGTAGTTTTGGCTCATCAGTTGGCTTTTGTTATGTTATTATTAACGTTGATTTTTCGGTTAAAAAGGAGAGATTAATTGCAAAAATATACTATCAATTATTCAACGATCCATAATCCGCTTTGTCTTCCTCTTCCTTCCATATATATATATATATATATATATATATATATATATGTAACTGATGAAAAACACCCGTTTGGCTTTTAACACGATGGTGAGGATGAAAGTGGGAAACAAAAGACGTCGCTTCAGAGTTCAGAAGCAAATGCGTACAAAATGATGGATGCAGGCAATTCAATTGTCTTGTTATGTCGATCACTGTTCTTTCCTATATTATTCTGTGTGATGACAATACAGTCATTCTGATCAATCACACCTAGTCACACACTATAATTGGATGCTGATAGTATTATTTCTGAGAAGAAGATATTTTTCATTAATCCTTAAAACAGTAATTAATCAGTACTTGATTATTACGTTGATCAAAGGTTAGATATACAATAATTATCATTATCTCTATCTGCATGGTTAAAACAAAACAGTCACTTTATAGGTCTTCTTCATATCAAAAGTAATATTTCATCGCCGTCTAACCAGACAAAAAATAAAATAAAATTACTGCGTTTTCTATAGCTAAAAATTGATACAAATAAAATAAGGGTTGAAATTGCGTACACAGTTCATCATTCACACAGATTACGGTTTAATATTAATTTAAGATTCTTAAGCCATAATCGATTCGATTTATGACTTTACATTATATATAGAGAAACCAATGCTCTCCCAACTGAGTGTCTTTCTAAGTTAGCTTTCAGTTAGGGTTACAAGACAATATTTTGATCAGAATATGGAACTGCCTTATACATATACAGCAAGAGGGTTTATTTTGTGACATCTAGAATACACTCCCTCCATTTTGAAATGTAAGTCGTTTAAGACTTGGAGAAATTTTTCAAAATGTAAGTCGTTTTAACATTTTAAGGCAAATTAATGACTATTTTTTCAACTTTATCCTCAATATATGATGTCAATCTACTTTTATTTAATCTTGTTTGTAGTTTCAATGTATTTAATGAGGGGTAAAACAGATATTTAACATATAAATTAATTGTTGAATGTTTGTCTTTTTAATTTACGTGTAAAGTCTAAAGTGACTTATATTTTGAAACGGAACGAGTATTTATGAATTTAAGTAATGTTTGTTTTTGTTTGAATCTCGGTAAGACGGTTTTCTTTATTGGGTAAAATTTAAGGGCCGATTAAAATTATTAGGAGCATATCCTTCCAATATAAAGATGAATTCCTTAATAACTGTGTACGTTAATCTGGATACTTGTAATAAAGACATGAACAAAATCCATAAACGAATCGAATTATTTTGGAAAAGGGCAGGCCTTATCTTGCCGCCACTTCCCCCTCCATTTTGATCAAGAACCAAAAGGTCGGCTTTTGAGAGTCGTATGAAAATTGCATATTAATTCATCATGATTGCTGGTTTTTGTTGTTTAGTATTACTATCGTTATTACAAGATACTAATCCCAAATTAAAGAGAGGATGGATTCATGTAGGACTGTCACGTGACGCGGTTTCACCGGCTAAAACACTTCTTACACAAGGAAAATTAATTGGCCTGGAAGACAAGCTGAAAAATGACGCGATTAGGCAATTAACTTAAGGAAAGATTCATTTGTTTAGTTGAAGAAACTAGAGACTTATGAGCTGGTTTTGTAACTATAGATATGGAATTACTGATTTATTTATTATATATATATATATATATATTTTTTTTTCTTTTTTTTTTAAAAAAAAAGAAATTGAATTCAGGCAGCCACCATCTTTGACAAAGACGTGGAGAGAGAGAGTGGAGTGGGGTAAATTGAGGGGCTAGTGTGCCTTAAACGTCAATTGATTCCCTCAGAAAAAATCAACTCATCATATGCCTTCTTGACTTGCACCACCTATTCTGTGCCCTTTCAGATGTTCTAGAAACTCTCCATTCTTTTGTGTCTGCTTCCCAAACGAAATGAAGATATGTATACATAGATGATGGTGCCAACTGTTTGTTCTTGGTCTTGAAATAATCGATGGAATTGCTCAACACACTCAAGTTGATTTATATAATCGTCCCTATATCTGGTCTTACTGATTATTATTAGACTCATTCCAGTTAAGGTGTGACATTATGGAACAATTTAAATTTCATTACTACAATCTCTACGAGTGATAGCATTACATATATATCGAACTATGCAGAACACTAAACTCTTATTTTTCATATTGTTTTAAAAGAAAGGTTAAAACGATACCAAAAATGTTAATACATGAAGAGATACACAAATGAATTAGTCATGAATTAATTGTTATTTCAATTAACCAATTTTTTTTTAAAAAAAAAGTGAGCAAAGAACATTGCTTTTTTGAAAGATGTCCACGGCGGTTCTCTTTCAGGCAATAATCATTGCATATTTCGATGAGATTATAGCCGGAAAAGAGCGACAGAATAACTAGTTTACATCTCTTTAGAGATTTTACCATATAATGACGCAGTAGATCGCAGAAACTTGTTAGGAAATTCCATCTTAGGTAAGTATTAGAGCAATATTCCGTTAGGCGTAATGCATTGATGGGAGAATTTGAAATGGCCAATTTTAAGATTACCAAAATCCCGCTACATACCAACACGTGTAGCTGTCAATTGTCATCCTACATGGATTAGAGTCTAAAGAACAACAAATATCTAGGCAACTAATACCTAGTTTTTTTTTTTCCATACTAATACTTCTTTTTTTTTTTTCATATTACAGAGTGTCAATGTACGATCAGAATCTAAAAAATAATAAGTACTTTATTTTTTTTCTTCCATATTGTCGGTGTATGATCAGAATCTAAAGAACGACAAATACCTAATTTTTTTCTTCCATATTTTCGGTGTACGATCAAAATCTAAAGAACAACAAATACCTAATATTGCAGGATGTCAGCAACAGTGACTAATTTCATGGCAATCTAAAGAACGATAAGTACTTTTTTTTTTTTTTCATATATTGCCGGTGTATGATCAGAATTTAAAGAACAACAAATACAACAGTGACTAATCTCATGGCACCTCGATGGATATGCCCATGACGAGATTCGAACTATCGACTTATGGTTGAGAGTTGATCAAATGATTTAAGGTTAATCCATGCCCATGACAAGATTCGAACCATCGACCTATGGTTAAGAGTGAAAGAGTCCTTACCACTCCACTATAACCCTTTTAGTTACAAATATCTAGTTTATGCGACTAAAAAAACAAAAAAATAAGTAGGAATCAAATAGGGCTCTATTGGTTTGAAACTTGTATGCTTTAACACGAAAGTTGAGGTTTCAGTTTTCACTAGCAAATGCGAAAGCAGATAACTAAGATAACTACTGGAGAAAATAAGTAACTGACACCAGAAATCTGATTAAGTATCATCAACTATGGGAAGGATCTGTACCCCAAAAAAAAAGAAGCCAATGGGAAGGATCGAACACAATGATAAGGAGGCAAACCCGAATAGAACCTCTTCCTAATAGCATTACCTTTTTTTCGATAGATTCTACCTCCATTTTAATAACTTGGTATAGTACCTCCAAGCACCTATTCTTGGAAAAAGAAAAAAAAGAATTAAAAAAACGTAAGATATGGAAAACCATTCTACAGCAAATTTTGTGCATTTCCCCCCCAATTTATATTAATCCATCCGGTTCTGAATATAAGCTATTTTAATTTTGTCCTAAATTTCACTTAGTACGCATTTTCAATTGACGAAAAAATCTTAAAAAATATATTTTCATGTTCGTTGTATTTTATCGATTGTTATGAAATATTTTTAAAATTTTTTTTAAATTAAAAATGCATACTAAGTTAAACTTAGAATAAATCAAAATGTATTATATTAAGTACAGAGGGTGTAACTTCAATGGTGTGTGGTTCAAAAGCAGGCTTTAAACCATTATATTGGGCCTGGTCATATCATCCAAGTCTATTACAGCTTGTGGCCCAATAAATAAAGTCCACTATCATAATCCTAATTTCTAAGCATATCTGCATATCCAATTTCACACTTCCCAACAAACTTTGACGTCATCCGATCGGTGACAGCCTCTCCATTCCAAATTTCCTTCCTTTTCCCGTTGATCATTTCAGGGAGTAGTATTTATTTACACTCAAAACTTCACCTTCACCTTGATCATTCTTTCAAACTCCATCTCCACGAAACCTTCGAAACTATTTTGATCTCGTTGCCGATCAATTGAGTTCCTTTGCTTGGTTTGTATAAAAAAAAAAAAGGTACAGGAAAAGAACCCCCTTGTAATCATGGAGTCAGGTGGAAATGTTAGCCACAGAATTGCCAGAATTTCAGCTCATCTCAACCCACCAATTCACTCCCAGGTTTTTTCTGTTCCCTTTTTTCTTGGTTCTGCTACATATGTTTGTTGTTTATTGCTTTCCCCTGATGGATCGTATGCTAGAAGCTGGTCTGTTCTTCCTTTTGTTATTAATTCTGTGATATTAATAATTGTTGTGATGTGGGTTCTGGGAAAAAATAGGAGGGAACTTCTGTGTTGATGAGGGAGAATTGCAGGGCAAAGGGAGGCTTACCTGGGTTTAAAGTTGCAATCTTGGGCGCTGCAGGAGGCATTGGCCAACCTTTGGCTATGCTCATGAAGATGAATCCATTGGTTTCAGTTCTTCATCTCTACGATGTGGTCAACACCCCTGGAGTTACCTCAGACATTAGTCATATGGACACTGGTGCCGTGGTAAAATTTCCTATGTTTCACCTTCCTAACACTTTCAGTGTGACATTTTATTTCAATGCTATTTCTATCCTGCATTTGATGATAAGTATGGAATGATTAGGATAAGTGAACAGGGTTAAAATGAAATGAATGTTTTTTCAAGTGAATTTTGGCATGGGGTTATGCCTTATGATATTTAAGTTGGGAAAACGAAAACCTTTTTATCAGTTAAATGAAGTTACTGTGGAAACAAACACATCCAAATGAACAATTAATTTAGGAGAGAAATTTGAAGTGAGTTGATTACCCTACATAGTGGGATAAAGGCTTGTGGTTGTTGATTATTTGACGACTGTAGATAACAGGAGTGGGAGGTCTATGCATATGTGAACTGTTTGATTTAGTGGCGCTAAGAGGAGAAAAAAGCTAGTTATGTTGTAGGCTTATCTCATCTTGGATCGGTTTAATTCAAGTTTGATTGCATAGACTGAAAGTAGCATTGCGGGTAAAATGAATCAAAAGCGGAAGTTTATTTGCATTCGATGTTGAGTTTGCTTCTAAGTGCTTTGTGCCAGCTGTTGAGTTTGTTGGTTAGATGCTTACACTGCATCGAAACTAAGATGCAGCTTTTTGTCTCGAAAAGCGTCTATATATGGGTTGAATACAGAGTTAATTCTTTTTTATATCTAGGTTCGTGGTTTTCTGGGAAAAGAGCAGTTGGAGGAAGCCCTTACTGGCATGGACCTTGTCATTATTCCTGCTGGGGTTCCTAGAAAACCAGGAATGACAAGAGATGATCTTTTTAACATCAACGCGGGGATCGTTAAAACTCTCTGTGAAGGAATTTCGAAGTGCTGCCCCAAGGCCATTGTCAACGTAATCAGTAATCCAGTGAACTCGACAGTCCCAATAGCTGCAGAGGTTTTTAAAAAGGCTGGCATCTATGATCCAAGGCGACTTTTGGGAGTCACTATGCTTGATGTTGTTAGGGCCAATACATTTGTGGTATGCACAATATCCTTTGTTAGATGAACTTTCTTCGATTTCCTTGGCTCCATCGCCTTTCTTGCATGTACATAGTTTTGCATGCTTCCTTTTTCTCTTTTCTCTTCGTCTTATCTGAGAACTTTTGACATCTGAAGGCTGAAGTTTTGGGGCTCGATCCCAGGGAGGTCAATGTACCTGTAGTAGGGGGGCATGCGGGAGTTACAATTTTACCTCTTCTGTCTCAGGTAATTTGAATTTCCGGAAAATTTCCTCAGTTCGCTCATGTAAGATATGCTCTTCAAGTGTTAAAGGTTCGCTCTATGTGGTGCAGGTTAAACCTCCGTGCTCTTTTACTGCAGAAGAAACTGAGTATCTAACTTCCAGGATTCAGAATGGTGGAACTGAAGTTGTTGAGGTAAGAAGGTTTTCTGTACTGCGATCAACCCAAGAGTTTACAGGCAATACAATTGTCCTTTTCTGGGAAAATAAGTTCTGAAAAATCTTTCTGGCAGAAAGGAAGACTAGAAAGTCAACCTGTAGACATTGTCTTTGTACCTGGTATAGAAATGTTACACCTTGGAGATTAAGACCGAAGCTTTCAATTGTGATGCAATTTTTTTTTAACATATTACTCTCAGAAATGTAATTGTTGTGTGTGGAAACTTTGGATTGCATTCTTCGGTACAAATATTGATTATATTAATCCTTTTGGGTGCTGAAACAAAGTAAACATAGAAAAATGTTCTGTTTAGAGTGAGCAAAATAATTATTTGCATCCCTTGCAGGCTAAAGCTGGTGCCGGATCTGCAACTTTATCAATGGTAAGTCATTGTAACTACATTCCAACTGTATAGATTATTATTAGAGGTTTTTTGGCTCCTCGTCCAATGAAAAGTTTCTGCTTGGTGCTGAATGATAATTAATATTGGCAGGCATATGCTGCTGTTAAATTTGCCGATGCATGCTTAAGAGGCTTGAGAGGAGATGCTGGTGTTGTTGAATGTGCTTTTGTATCTTCTCAGGCATGTTTCTCTTGAACTTGTCTGGTAACCTTGCAAAATAAGTTGTTTGATGTTGCTGAAGATGACTCATAGATTGCACTCTTTGTAGGTGACGGAGCTACCTTTCTTTGCAACCAGAGTACGCCTTGGCCGTAAGGGGGTTGAGGAGATATTCCCACTTGGCCCACTAAATGAATATGAGAGGTCTGAATTGGTGATGTGCTTTAATTACTTCATCAATTTCATCATTATGCATGAATTACCCAGCATTTCATTCATTGCTTTGTCAATTTCATCGTTAAGAATTACACTGGATTACATTCAGCTGCCTTCTTCTTTGTTGATTTCACTGTATTAGCCAACCCAAATTTGTTATCATGTTCTAATTGTCATGGAAAACAAAAGAAACTATCATCATGTTCAAATGTAGTTTTGATGGTTGCTTTGTGCCTGGCAGTTTTGTTCTATCAACTATGAAAATGGCAATGACTCCAACCTATTTTGGAAAATGACGTCTATTTTGAGGAAGGGAGTATAACTTACACCTTTCCTCATAACTTCATGCTTAAAATTCATGGTTTTGACAACTACTCTATGCCAAAAGCATATAGATACAGCTTACCCTCATCTATATTTATCTGTGCTTGTCAGGGCTGGCTTGGAGAAAGCAAAGAAGGAATTGGCTGGAAGCATCGAGAAAGGAGTTGCATTCGCCAGGAAATAAGTTGCCAAACCACAAGATCGACCATCATCGATGATGATGTTGTTAAGTTCAGTGTGGACTCTGAAGGGAGTTCCCTGCGTTAGAACTTGGAATAAGTTGTTGGGATTGTATCAGAAGTCAATACAGAAGTCAGAGATGAAAATAAAGCCTTATCCTTCTTCTCTTACCTGCTCCCATCTTCCAAACCGAACCCCCTCCAAATATGAAAAATGAAAAACTGGGAATAACTGGAGGTTTTCATGGAAGATTGTGATTTTTGGTGTTTTTGCATTCATTATCTACTAGTACATTGTTCTTAATCTAGTGTTTAGTTTGCTCATTGGGCTGGTAGTGAGTGTTTTATACCATTCCACTTCAAGGGGATCTCAATCCTTAAGACTCGGCTCTATGTGGGCTTTATAAACAAACTCCCTTGCATTGGGTCGAGCCCTCATTGTTAAATAACATTTCTAAACTGAAGCAACGTTTTGGGCTTTGGGTAAATATGAATTTTGATCGATGATTCACTGCTAATTAGCATCAATATTGTGTCCAGGGAAATCCATTTCTCGTGAAACAGTAAAACGCAGATAGAGATACAGACATTCTTGATTCTCGAGTATGGCAGGTGAACAGAAAACCAATTCTGAAGAGTAGATTGATCAAAACATTCAACAAACTGTATGATGAGAAAACGTTGTACTTGTACAATTTCTTCAGGTTTGACTCATAATTGATGTATGCAGTTAAAAAAAAAAAAGGGTAAAAGCTTCCAATCGATTACAGAGAAGCTCTCAGAAGAGAGTTCCAGCTCATGAGAAAACATGCAAGATAAAAGAGAGAGCTTCCCTGTTCCTGGTCCTGGGGTACCCAAAATGCCATGATTAACTATGATCATTATTCATCTTCAAAGTGAACGGTCACTTTTCAAAAAAGTGACCAAAAGTGGGATTGCCTTCTTTTTTTAATCTCTTCAAAGTCAAAATTCAAAGTAGCAAATCTTTAGTATTCATACAAACAACGTATGTACACAAAAGGGTTTTTAATCATTACACTCATCTGGCTTCATTATACTTCTTCTTACTACAATAATATATCCTATCTCTATTATATCTAACCTAAGAATAGTGGTACTAATTATTAGTAGTAGTATAGTTTAGTTGTTGTTACTTTAAGTAAGTGGAAAACTGATGTTAAAAACATCTCAATTGTCCATTGACATGATTATTGCCTTCAATTATTGAAACTACTCCTAACGCATTATCCCTACCAATTAATTCTTCATCAATGTTACACGTACGTGACTCTGTTCTTTCATTCCCTGATTAATTATTTACTAATTAACTCTATGCTTCTCAGCCAAAGGTGATTGGATATCTGAATTCAATTCTTCATTTACTTTACAGCTACTTCGCCCTCATTGCTGCTTATTTCCATTTCCAAAACCCCACCACCACCAATTGGGTTTACTTTTTTCTTTTTTTTTTGAACAAATTTGAAGAACACTGATGACTGAAGGAACGAACGTTCGAATTAAATTCTAAGCATATGTGGCTTTCTTTTCAAGTCACTTTCATCTCGCTGTCTACTTTTTCCTCTTTGATCACTATAATTTTCTTAATGCTTAACGGAATTGGTGTAGTGAAATTTAACCCACACTTTTCTTAAGAGTTGGTAATCATATTTGGTATAGGAAAACGAATATGTACATTGCATCTTCAACTCCTTTCCCAGTCACCATTTTGTCTCAAAACTCTTTTGTTTCTTCCAACTCTAATTCTATAGGCTGCCTATTGCCTACACCTCCTCCCCCACAGTTGATTGAGAAAAACGATTTTTCCACTGTCATGTGTAACCACGGGTTGATGATATATATCATCAGTTTTCATAGTGACAAAGTGTGTTATTCGTTACTAAAATTTTAATATCTGTAGAATAACATGTTAGTCATTATGAAAAGTCGGGTTGTATCATATAACCCATTGTGAGAATATTCAGCTTTTCTGATGGAGGGGGAACCTTCCAGAATTTGAATTTTTATTTTTTTTTTTTTTTGTTTCAGGGCTGCTTTTCATTAATTTTTATATATATTTTTTGGTCCTACAGGCAAACATAATTCACACAGAGGAGAATCAAATTATGATTTTCAGAGAAGATCAAATTGAGATGCAGTCCTGGTCAGATTATTTTGATGATCCACTTTGTTGATTGAGAGAGATGAACAACAACCTTTTCTCTCCGAAACCAAATATCATCTGAGAAAAAAGCTTCTTCTAAAGTTTATCATAGTGAAATCAAGTCCACGATGTTTCAACTGTTAAACTGGAAATCATGCAAAATGGAATCCAAAGATCCTTTTTATAAATTCCATCGCTCCACTCTTTTCCCAAGTGGGGAAGCACTCCTTGGGTGAAAATCTTGATACATTTCATTAATCCACACGTACACATTTTAATACATTTTTTCACTGTAAAAAAATACGCACTAAAAGAACAGTTTCACCAAAGCACAAAGGAATTAGACGCAATGGATACATTAAGCATAGGATCTCGCGTCTTGCATGCATAAAAACCTAATAATAATACAGGGATTAAAAAAGATAAACTAACTAGGACGAGTGGCTCAAGATTGATTGATTCCTAGTAAATATTTTTTGGTTTTGCAAATGGACGTCATGTGACGGGGTGTTTTTCTATAGCAATAATAATAAGATTTAAGCAACGGAATAATGAATTATTCTCCTGATTCACAATGATTTAATATATTTATTTATTAAAATAATACAGTAAATATGATTATCATTTGTAACAAAGAAAGTATATCGAAACTGCAATTTATATGGTGAACCTTGTACACCATATATGGTCCACTTGTCTAATTAATACAATCTAATTATGGAATGAAAAATTAAGAAAAATTTATTAAATAAATTCATTCTCTTTCATCATTAAATTTTTCATACCATGCTTTCAAATATAAATAGTATTTTAATAATTTTGTAACTCTTTCTTCTATTCATATTTGAAAATTAGGATCAATTTGAATTTAATAAAAAAATCATGAAATTTTGATATATATGTCATGAAAAATATTATTATAACTCATGAATTTTTCATAGATTGAGTATGAACTACAAATATAAGGATTTCTAAATATTTAATTTATATTTTTATTTTCTTTGTATGAAAATTTATATAATTCTCATGAACATAATTTTATATGGGTATGAATATAGATTGTTTATTTGAATTAGTCTTTCAATTCTCTTAAAAAATTGTGAAATTCGAATACACATGATATGATATGAAAAGTATCTTTGTTATTCATGAATATTTCAGGAAAAATGTATGAACATTTATTGTACATATGATTAATGTTTTTGAAATTTCTCTAATTTGTATGAACATTTAGCATAATTTTCATGAATAGTCATTGTTGTATGTATGAATAGAAGATTAGAAATATTACAACTTTTAATTTATAATTAGTGTATGTGTACAATTTTTTTTATTAAAATATATGAATTTTTTATATATTTTATATGAAAAATATGTTTATCATTCATGAATTTTACTTATTTGATTATGAACTTTTAGTTTTTGAATGAATAGAATTATACTAATAAATAAATATTTCTTCCTTTTTGACTTTTTTTTTAATCACGTAATTGGTTTGAATATATGATATTAAATATATAAAGATGATTGATTAATTTAATACTAGTAATATTTAAATTAACAATTAATTCCTTAAATAGCTTCTATTAATTAAATCAGTACACCGTATATGATGAACTATATGCACAATATAAGAATTCTACTGAAACTAATAAATTTTAATTAAGGGAGAAAAAACATGTCGGTGATGCTATAAGTGTAAATGAAGAATGATGATATTAATAAGATATATCAATTGGTGGTACCTTTGCATGGGACTAATAGATTAGACTAGAGTAGGCAGACTAGGGGAGTGATGTAACACAAAGTTGGATAAAACGACATTGATCATGGCTGCCATGTTTGGTGTCAATTAGGGAAAAAGCGTTGATGGATCTTTGGCCACACTCTGAAAAATTAATATGAAACGTGGACCCTAAATTTTGCTCCAAATCAATTGGGGAATTGATAATTGAGTGATTTATTCCAATTTCCACTAAAAGTACTATTTGTAGGTGATGTTTAAAAAAGTAAATACCCGTGTAACTATTATTGTGGGAAATGAGTGTTATGCAAAAACTTTTAACCACGCATCATTCATGGTGTACTGTCGCCATTTTTTTATCTGTCGCTTTAGGGTTTACATAGATATTAAGAAAATAATGATTAATAATTTAATTTTAAATATTTTTTTTTTGTCTCTTATTAAAAGTATTGGAACTATACAAAAATTAAACATGAAAGTAAAAGAATTGTAATTATTATTAACACATGATGTTAAAAACAAAGAAAAATAGAGTAAAATTAAAAAAATTATATTTAATGCTGCATTAGAAATGAAGTGCGACAGATTAAAAAAATATAGTTTGACCTCACCTTAAAGTACCAGATAAAAAAAGAGAGGAGGTAGTGCTTATTATCATCCCTATTTAAAAAACATAATCTGCATTAAATTTTGAGAAAATTATTTTTTCAAAAAAAAAAAAAAGCTAAGACAGTACATTTGACGCACTATGAACTGATGACATCCTGCAAATCAAAAGGCAAGAATTGATCTAAGATGGACACCAGCATTTCAAACCGCGATAATAATCGCATCTGAAATAGAAAAAGAAGAGGAAAGACAAATTCGCGATAAGTTGGTCTGGTGTAGATTAATCTCTTCTTTTTTCAAGAAGTCACTTTAGGGGTTTTTGGGACTATTTTCATTGTTGATCATTTTAAACACACTTGGTCTGCCCGATTTAAAGCGGTTTTTAATCATAATTAATAGTATGTTTATGCATAGTAGAGGGTAAATATAACATGCGTGATTAAACTTCAAACTTCAAAGCGATTTCGCAATCCACGGCTTGCTGCTATAGTTTATGCCATACACCTTGGGACAAATCATGCACAGACCAATTTCCAGTCCCACTAAAATCAATCACTTCTGTGTTTTATAGTTCACTATTTCTGTCTTTATTGACCAGACATATATTCATCACTTACATTTTCTCCTCTCCTCTGATTTTTTCTTTATTATTTAGATGTTATAAATCTAAATTTATTATTATTATTATTATTATTATTTTTTGGAGTCTGGTATGTTGGTGAATCCTAAAAAACCACAGGTCAGTTCTATGCGCATTTTAAAGCTAAACAGTGCCTGTCATTTCAATCAAGAAAAAGAAAACGGGGAGGGAAGAAAATGCACAATGATTTTGGTGTCGGATCCTGTTTTATTCTGAAAAAATGGACAATAGCCCTTTATCCTATTTTTGGCGTTTAGTAACCTAATGATGTAAATAGGCATTATATCATTTGTATCATTGTTTAAAAAATAAAGAAATAAATTCTCGACACTTTGGAAATGGATTAAATAAAACTAATCTTATCTCTCTCTAATAAGTGGAGTTTGGTTACACCTTTTTAACAATATATATATACGTTATAGAAGGTAGTTTTGCCTTTCGGAATATTACGAGTGTGATCGTCAACGCCATTTTCATAAAATAAATCCGACTTGAACTGGCGCTTGTGCAAGAGGATGGGTATATTATTACAGTAATTAAAAGTGGGTGAGAAAAGGGGAAGAAGGATCCTTTTATCTTTTACTATTACATTTTATTTAATAAAAAATTAACACTAAAATGTTGTTACTGAGATCAGAAGAACAGTAAAATCTTCGAAATTGGATGGGGGACAAAATGAAATGATGGAAAGTTAAAATGTGCACGCTCTACTCTGGGAAAGAAGAACCACGACCAGTCAATCACACATTTATAACCGTGTTCTATGTAGCAGACGAGCTTGCCGAGAAAAAAAAAAAAAAAAAAGAAATATGAAAAAGATAAGGGTTGAAGTTGTAGTAGTTGTGGCCTGTAAGAGATGATAGTTATTCTGAAATTTTACGATCAATTTGATTATATATTGGAAAAAAAAAAGTTATAGTATACTGAGAAGATTAAAATAAGTCACACTAATATCTTTGCAAATTCCCCTTGTCATTTTTTGTTGTTTGAGTATTTCACCTAATAACAATATTAGTATTAGTTCACCAAATCGAATCATATTTCACGTTACTGAATTTAACGCACGTGATAAGGTATGCAAAATATCAGTAAAAAAGCACGATTCAGACTTCCACCAAAGGCGTAGAGAGAAGAAAAAAAAAATAACGTGACACCAAGCATAAAAATCATGAAAAGAACACAAGTGAAATGATCTCAACGCACCAACATTAAGAGACATTACTGGTGAAAGTATGAAACTACAAATTCACCTTGGCTATTTCTATTTCTTTTTTCTGATTTACAATTTGTTTCAGAAGATTTTTATATTTATTGCTGAAAACAAGAACACAAAAATGATGTAACAAGACCACCCACCTGTTTTTCGCAGGTACCAGAGTATCAGTATTTATGTTTGTTTTGTTTTTTTAATATGTATTTTTAGATATTTTTTGTATTAAAAATATAAAAAAATATATTAAAAATATAAATAATTATATTAAGATAAAACAGTTATTATTTAAATATTTTAAAAATAACATCGAAAAAACCTGACAAACAAAGCGAAGTTACTCCAACCTATATGAATATTGGATTTCGCAAATGTCATTTCAATATGAAAGTAAAAAAAAGATAACGCAGAATTGGACTGATGGGAAATGCCAGCTAATAGTGCCCCCTGCATCTGCGATTCTGCCATTTCTGAAATACTGAAACAAAGCTTTCTTCTCTCATCAGGGGAGTCAGGGCAAAACCTACAAGGCTACAAACACAAAAACACTCGCATTCTTGAGCCTATATTGTAATATATATCCTGCAACAAAATCAACGCTCTTCTTCGACGTACAATCAAAGCATATATTCTGCTCCACGCATTCCGATCACATTCATGTTTTTCACAAGAAATTTTTTTTTTTTATAACAAAAAAAAAGACCTTCTTTCTTATTATTGAATGCCGTTTTGTTATTTGCAGGAATGCCGGTAAATTTTTTGACACTAAAAACATTTTTAGTCACTGACAAATGCCATCATACAAAATGGTACTCTGCAAATGCATCTGCAATGTAACCCTCCCCCCCTACTCTTCTTTTCATTAATTTCCCCCAATTTTTTTTACTTACTTTTTTTTTCAACCTTTCTTTTCAGTCGATCATCACATCAAATCACTTCATTGAAACAATAGTAAAAACTCTACTGTGTGTAATTTATGACCCTATCTATATAGAGCAGTAGCCTAGCTTGACTACTGAAAAACATTAAACACTATTCAACTGTGATTCAGGTGTTACCGGGTCCCCTTTTTACTGTGTGTGATAGCTAATTGCCAATGTGGAAAATCCAACGATTGGTGTCAATGCCAAGTCATCATGTGTTTGTTTGTTTGTTTTTTTTTTTTTTTAAATCCAATCCCAGCTATTCTTGCTCGTCAGTTCAGTACTTCAGTTGTCACACCAGCTATATTGTGCAGTACACCGGTGAATATTAAAGGACGCCCCCCTCAATCATTCTTGTTAAAATTCCAAACACTTGTTCCAAACTTCCATTTCTTTCCGATGTTTTCAAAGTTCAAAATTATGGTACTGTATATTCAAAATTAATCAGGCTCAGATGGTAGTTAGTAGTTACAAGCACTCTGTTTCAGAAAAATAGTTTACTTTCTAGACCTTAAAATAAAAATGACGGTCATGTTTTTTTGAACGAACTAGACATATTTTAAGAAATTGTTCCGTAATCAGGTTTTTCAGTTTGAGCTTCTACGCGGAACAATGTATCCGAGTAAAGTAAGGAGTTGTTAACGACTACATTAGTAGTACTAATTTAGATGAGTATTTTGTATACCCAAAAAAAAATATATATCAAAATTGTTTCGTATTTCAAATAGCTAGTGCGTTAATAAATCAACATTGATAGCACCATCACTTTTAGTCTAAGGACCATTTGGAAGGGACACAATTATCAAAAATAGTACACATATGCACTAGTATAATACAACAAGTGCGTTAGTATTCTCTTCGCACCCCACACACCGAAAATGGGAGAAAATCCATCCGAAGCTGCCAATCAAACCATGGACATGAAATCTGAAATAGTAAATTGAATCCCTAAACCCAAAATATATGTCGGTTTCTGCTTAGTTGCAAGAATCAACCACAATAAAATGTTCCTGCTTGACAACACTACCCCGGAAAGACAAAAACAGTTTGTCAAATTTGGGGTAATTTGGACATTTAACGGCGTAAGGAATCCATGTTGTTCAAAGTTCAAAGTTCAACAACAAACTTAGGTGACAGTCTTATAGTGAAGACTTTTAAAATTTAACTTAGGTTTGTGACAACCAAAAAGGTAAAAGAGGCCAGCAAAGCTGATCACGTGCTTAGCAAATGGCAAACAACATAAATAAGGCCCTCTTGCATCTGCCATCACAATCGAAAAAGATGTCTCTATTTTGTATTGCATGATTGTCACTTTGGCGAAAATTTGACCCCATTTCTCACAGACCAAATGAAAACACCAAATCATCAATCATCAATATGCAACCATTAATTAATAACACCCTCCTCTATTGAAAATTTGCTTCCTTTGTTTGTTTCTTGCCAATGGAGTCCAATATCCATCATCATTTATGGAGTTGTTAGTTTATAAATGAGGAGAGAGCCATTTCCTTCTCTTAAAGGCAACCCCTTTGCCCAAAATTGAAAAGAACCCAGTTCAGTACTTGAGAAAATGGTCGTATTGAATGCCGGAGGCGGAAGCCATAAAAACCAGAGTTTTCGCAATCAAAGAAAGAAAAGCCAAAAAAAAAAAACCCCACACTCTGGCATCCCAAAATGCCGCTAACTGGTCTCTGTCTCGGTAATTGAAAGCACTGCTGGGCACAGCAAACCACGCCTCCATTGCTTGGGGCTATCTCAAACTCATGATGACCCATTTCAACATTGTTTAAAGCATGTTTAAGTTATACTACACAAAACACTGTTATCAATACGAACCCACATGAAAATATTGATGATTTTCATACTTAAAGATGTGGACTTTTTTTAGTGCAATAAAGCGATAAAGATGAATACAGGGAATCAACTTCACATGTTTAATGATCATCTTTCTGCCAACAACTCCCCCCTCTTATGTACACATACACATTACTAGAAAGCAAAACCAAAAGGCAACTTAAAACTTACAAATACCCCTTTCAAAGTTAGAGGTTTGAGAGTCAAACCCGGCCCTTTTCCCCTAACCTAATTCCCTCAAAAAAGCTGAAGTGAGGAAAAAAGCAAAATGCAACACAAAATAGAAAAAGCTAGGCCAACCCAAACCAATTGATTACCGAAACTTAAGCTTAAAACTGATAAGAAAATTACTCCTATTGTAAACTAAATAAAGCATCCCATTTTCTCCCCCGACAAATTTACTAGCTAGGACTAGGGATCAAATGCTAAGAAGATCAGGTGGTGGAGATTGAGGCGGGGATTGTTGGTGATGGTCTTTTGGGTCTGCCGGGGCATTGTTTGGAGACTCGACATTAGAGGCCGGTGGTGGTGATTCGGTCAATGTGGAGTGAGCCTCCTGTTTCGAGTTGGCTGGCTTGGGCAGCTCAGTCAGTATTTGCACTACCTCCCTCATTGTTGGTCGTTCCACAGCCTGTTCTACAACGCATAGCATTGCTACATAGAACACATGCATCACCTCATGAAGGGGAACTGTTGGGAGTCTCGGATCAAGTATCTTGAGCACCCCTTCCTTGTTACCATCAGTCATCTTCCTAACCCACTGCACTATGTCAACACCATCTCCAAACTCCCCAACTGGTTTTCTGCCGCTCACTAATTCTAAGAGAACTACCCCAAAGCTGTACACATCACTCTTCTCGTCAACTTTGAGTGTGTAGGCATATTCTGCAATACAAAACAATAAAATTGAGGCAAGAGTTACTTCAATTGCAAACTACCAGCCTAAATCCAACAGACAAGAAAATATTTAGTAGCCGAACTAACAGAAACAAAAATACAAGTATTAATTTCAAGACTTTGACCAAATGCATTAATGACTTGCAAAGGGATTATTTGCAATTAGGAATGAGGTTGGTGAGGAATTCGTTTTCTAAATTAATACAGTAATTATATCCACACCAAAACAAAACCTAACAAGTTGAATTCCAGTTTCCTTATAACTTTAGACTCCAGAAAGGTGATCTCCCCTCGTTGCTAAACAAAGTCAACCACTTGTGAGAACTGTTAGGACTTCCAAGATTTTGATAACTTGTTCCCTACAAGAGACACTCTGAAGAAACATCTACAATAGATCAAAAAGTTTGACCAGCAAACAGTACAGTTGGTGAATCAAATTGAGAAAGAATAAATAGGTCAGTGTATATCTAAACAAACAGCTAAATTAATGGTCTCACAAATTTGAGGATTTTTCACTTCACACATTAACTAGCAAATTTAATCAGAAACTAGATAACATAATTCAGATTGACCGGTAACAGAATAACAAAACAAATCACAGTATACAATACCTGGTGCGATGTAACCATAAGAACCAGCAATAGCAGACATGCATTCTGATGTCCCAGAATCTTGCAAGAACTTAGCAAGTCCAAAATCAGCCACATGAGCCTCAAAGTTCGAATCTAGGAGAATGTTGTTTGACTTGACATCACGGTGGACAATCAGAGGTGAGCAATCGTGATGAAGATAGCAGAGACCCTTGGCAGCTTCAACAGCGATCTTATACCTAGTATCCCAGTGCAAATGACCACCTTTCTTGCCGTGAAGCATTTCTCCCAAGCTCCCATTTGGCATGTACTCATAGACCAAGAGATTAGTCTCATGATTAGAACAGAATCCCAACAATCTGACAATGTACCTATGCCTAATCCTTCCAAGAGTCTGGATCTCAGCATTGAAACCATGATCATGGGATGAACCCCGGCTCATAGCAGGCAACCTCTTCACTGCAACATGTTCTCCATTTGGCATCACCCCTTTGTATACAATCCCAGCACCCCCTTTTCCAATAATATTATCCTCTTTCAGTGAATCCAACACATCATCACAAGTGAAGTCCAACCGCTGGAAAGCAGTAAGCTTCCAAGCACGAGCCTCGTTAGCCTTTTTCAAAGACCGGGCCTTTATAATTGCAGCAACAGCAAACACAATGGAACAAACAAGTAGACCAACGACAAGCAAAAGCTTCATAGAGGGGGAAAATGCGCCCCTCTCATGAGGCTCACGAGTTCCATTAACAATGCCTTCCTTGCAAGGTCCCAGATAAGGACCACACAGATCAGGATTACCCAAAAATGAAGTGTAATTGAAAAAACTGAACTGACCACTACCAGGAACCAACCCAGATAGATTATTGTACGAAAAATCAACAGAAGTTAAGCTCTGCATTGTTGAAATTGAAGAAGGAATGCTCCCAGTCAAATGGTTTCGTGACAAGTTCAGATAGTTCAATATCCTCATACCTGTGATTTGAGTGGGAATCTCACCAGAGAGGTTGTTCCTACTGAGGTCAACAAAAGCTAGGAGTTGGCATTCACTGATTTCAGGGGCAATGGGGCCTGACAAGCTATTGTGACTGAAGTCAATCTTTGATACCTGCTGCAACTTGCCGATTTCAGCTGGAAGAGGGCCAGTGAACCTGTTCCCATCTAGCAAGAACTTTTGGACACCCGCAAAATTCCCAATACTCGGTGGCAACGGCCCGGACAAATGATTGTTTGAAAGACTAATCTGGCCCAGAGTGGTGGACACTGTTTCGGTGTCCGGGAATGTTCCGGTGAGAAGATTATCCTGAAGCTCAACTTGGGTTAGCTTCGGCAAACTCAAAAGCCCCTTCGGAATTGATCCATTCAGGTAGTTTTCACCCATCCTAATTCGACTGAGTGACTTGCACTGACCCAAGGATTCAGGAATTGGACCAAATAGGAAGTTACCCAGAGTAATCAGAGTCTGTAACTTGTTCCCAGTACAAATGTTTGGAGGTAAATTTCCAGTCAACTTGTTTGAACTAAGGTCCACCGTTTGCAGCTTTCCATTAGTACCTAGCCCTTGTGGGATGCTCCCAGTGAAGTTGTTCTCCCAGAGCTGCAGCACTTCCAGCTCCGGCAAGTCTGCAATAAAATCCGGAATCGACCCGTGAAGCTGATTCCTGAAAAGATTCAAAAGGGTCAGGTTCTTCAGGTCCGCAAATGTAGCAGGTATCTCGCCGGTGAACACATTGTTGGACAGATCCATCGACTTAAGGCTCTTTAGATATCCCAGTTCCGGCGTTACTGAGCCTGAAAGAGAATTCACTTGCAGAAATAGGGTATCCAAATTCTGAAGCTTCCCAAGCTCCGGAGGAATCTCACCGGAGAGGCCACAGTTGGCGGCATCAAACCGAACAAGCCGAGACAAGTTTCCGATTTCCGGAGGAATCCCACCGGAGAAGGTGTTGAAGTAACCAATGTAAAGATGTTGAAGTGTGGACAGGTTCCCAATCTCCGGCGGGATGTTCCCGGCGAGCTCGTTTCCAGAGACAGCAAGGTACTCCAGATTCGGAAAAGTACCATACTCCGCCGGAATGCTACCGCTGAAGTAGTTGCCGCCGAGGTGGAGATGCCGGAGATTGGTCAACTGATAAACATCCACCGGCAACGGCCCAGACATGTTATTATTGTAGAAATCCAGAACCCGGAGGTTTTTCAGCCCAATGAGCTCCGCCGGAAAAGTTAGGTTAAATATATTATTAGAGAGATTGAGGTAACGGAGAGTGGAAATGGAGGAGATTTCAGGCGGAACGGGACCGGAGAACTGATTGGCCGCAACAGAGAGGTTCAACAGCAAACGGAGATGGCCCACGTCAGGGGAAAGAGTTCCGGTGAGATTAAGGCCCGAAATATCAAGCCCAATCACATGACGGCCATGAGAATCGCAAGTAACGCCAACCCAGCCACAATGGCCGGTGGAGGGTTTCCAAGAAGCCAAAGCGGATTGTGGGTCGTCGGTAATAGCAGATTTAATAGCAAGCAATGCATCGTGTTCCGGCATCCGCGGTGGCCTCGCCGCTAAAGAAGAATGTAACAAGAGAAACAGCAGAAGAAGATAACGCATTTTTTCCTTTTTTAAAAAAATTTCCTTTCTGTGATGCGCTATCTCTTACCGTGTGAGTGTGTGTAGAGAAATTCAAACAGTACTAAAAAGGTTTGGAAGTGTGAAATAGAGGGAAGAAGTTGTTTGGTGGTAGTCAGTAGAGAGGAAGGAGTGTGGGATTGAGTGGAAAGAGAAGGAAATATGGTGTGAAATGAAGAGTGTGGATTTTGTGAGTATCCTCTAAAGAGTGTTTTTTTGGGGAGGTTTCATTTTGGCTTTGGGAGGAGAGAATTGAAATTGGGAGAGACAGAAAGGGGCCTTAAAAAGAACATTTTTTTTTCCCTTGAATGTGTAATGTGTGACTGTGTGGGAATGGGGTGTTTGTTGTAACTTTTGTACTATTGTATGGAGTGATGATAATTGTATTTCGTAATTCAGTTTAGTTGGATTTGGAGGAGATGAAGAAGTATGGAGTATGGAGGATGGACTAGTCGGTCCATGGAGAAAAGGGTAGGACCTTTTGGTCTCTTTTATTGAGTTTTTCCCCTTTCCTTTTTTTACTTTATGAGGAATATGAATTGAATCTCATCTTTGTTTGGCTTTTTGATGTCTTTCTACGATATGAATGTGACTCCAGATGATGATTTTGGTAAGAATTTGATGTATTTATTGAATGGTAGCTATTTTTTTTAAGAGATTGTTTATTGATTGATTAATCAGAGTAGAAAGTGAATTGTAAAATACAATTGGCTCTTGTAAAGCCAAAGGAAAAAAATGTAGTAGTATTATCTTGGAAGGTACGTTTTTTTTTGTAAGTTTATACTTCACACCAGCAGCAGCTAGTACTACTTTGTTTTACAAAAGAGACTTCAGTGGCGACAGAATCCTACCTAATCCTCCTCACAATTACCATGGACTACTTACTACGGTTACACTAATTTTTTACTCATTTTACTCCAAGATTTGATTTCATTATATTTTGTGATTTATTCAAGAGACCTAGTAAAAAGGGCTACGTCCTACTAATCATATGGGTTACTATTAACCATATGTTCCGTACATATAAACTGGAGGATTAATCTTAATATTAATATCCAGAAAAAAAAAAAGAAAAAAGAAAGAAAAAGGAAAGGAAACAAGCAAACTACGCATGCCAAAACAAATGGGGCAAAACATGTAAGATTCTCAACAATTCTTAAAGAGTCAATTCCCCAAAATAGATCTCCACTGCAAAAGCAATTTATGTATTACTATTATTATTTTTAAAAAATTTATAAAAATATGTATTGGACCACGAACAGAGTAAGTAGTGTTAATATCAGGCAAAACGCCAGAAATCCAATTGGGTAATAACCCACGTCACTGTATACATATTGTCACAAGGGTGATGGTGGTGGTCCTTTAGCTTGCAACTGCCTTGTTTTTATTGATCTCACATTATCTTATTAATACTACAGATTTATCCACTATAATCCATACAAAAATTTGAAAGCCTTAAAACCATGCATAATTTTTGGCTTTTGGTTTTCAGTTAAAATACTAGCTAGTCATTTGGTTTCCCACTTTTCCATTCCTGCCGTTTGTAAAATGATAGTGTTTTTCCTCTTGTTTAACGTTAAAGTTTGTGAGAAGAAAAAAAAAAGTTACAAAAATCCTTAACCCTTCCCTTGTTCATACTACTCCTCTGTCCCAATATTATTGTCCAGTTTGAGATTTCACTTTTAATACAATTTGAACTAAAATTGAAAACACAAACTGGACAATAATTATGTGACAGAGGGAATATTTCTTTATCCACGGCGTATTATACTGGTCGAGCTTTTTTTATTACTATTTTTACTATCCGTTTTCTTACCGTTAAAGTTAAATAAAGTAAATTATTAAATTAAGATGGAAATAGTACAAACGTTACCCCTTGGTTGGGTTTAGGTAAGAATAACATGCAAACTATGTGATTTTTGAGCTGTCGAAGTCTTTAACGTTTTTGGAAATCCTGATCTCATGAACTACATCCTTGTCCCGCAAGTGCATCGTGCAAGATTGCACTAGTTAAGCTAGTTTAACGTTAACAATAAATTATTATTACAATCTATATGGCTCTTGTGTAGTATTGAACCCAACTTAAAATGGGATTTCATATTTTCCTTTTAATAGTTGTATTAGGTTTTAATACTTAATTATGAGTCGGTTAAACAAATCTCTATAAATAAAGAAATCACTAGGGTTTTGTGGTATGCTTCTAAACGTGGAAAACTATTGCATGTTCGGCCGTGGCGAGATTGTGAGCTGATCAATCAAATAATTATTGTGCGTTGATCAGATTGTAAGTTGTTTGTCAAACAGCTTTATACGGGTTCACATCCTTTGTTTGGCTTCGGTTGATTTAACCACTTAATCAATCTTGTTGTTTAATTGTATTTGGTTTCTAGAAGTGACATTCGATTTTGGCTAATTATACATGGCAATCCAACCCGTGTTGTATAATTGTCCTGTTTCTGTTTTTTATGGCGTAAATAATTTTGAAGCTTGGCGTCAACTGGCGGAGGATTTTTTTCAAAATACTTGGAATTTGACATGTTATAGAACCAGGACTCGAAGAACCCGTTGAAGGTATACCAATCACAGGTGAACAAATTAAGAATCAGACTCATGACCAACAAGCTCGGTTTTATTTAAATACTCAGGTGCAATTGCAGGTATTTAATAAGTTTATGCATGCTAAGACATCAAGGGAAGTTTGGAAAATTCTGTTAAATTCAAATTGTGGTTTGATTATGTAAAAAGTGTCAGATTGCAAGAATTGAGAAGGCAATATGAGTTGGCACAGATAAAATATACAGAAACCGTTCAAGAGTATATGGACAGATTCAAAAGAATTGTTAGTGATATGAGGATTATTGGGGACACTTTGACAGAAGAACAATTAGTTTGCAAGGTTTTACGATCTTTAACCTCAAAATTTCGTACAAAGAAGATGGTCCTTGAATCCACTAAGGATCTTACTACGCTTACTTATGATAATTTAGAAAGTGAATTGATAGCATATGAGATGTTTCTTACACAACAGTCAATTTACCCAGCAGAAGGAGCATTAAAGGTTTCGGAAGATAAACTCAAAGCGGGGACTTATAATGGTGCAGAAAAAAATCAACAAAACCATAATCAAGTAGGTGGTACCGGACATGGTGACAGAGGTAATTATGGAGGCAAATGCAGAGGTAGAGGAAGATGCAGAGGCAGAGGTGGAAACAGTTTTTCTCTCAGTAGAGGAAGAGGTAATTTTGCTTATCATCAAAATAACTCTAATGATACGAATGGTGAAATGAACAACTACCAACCTCGTGATAAATCACGGTCAAAGTGTTGTTTTAGAGATGCAGATGAAAGAGACTATCATGTCAAGTTTGTTGAGAATTACGATGATAAGAATCGTAAAACAGTGATGCTGAGAATAAGAAACACAAGGAAGCTGAATGGTACCTTGGTTCTACATGTATTAATCACATGACTGGTCGTAAAGAATTGCTTATTGATTTGGACGAACCATTCTTAACTTGGGTGGAATTCGGAAATAATGATAGAGTCGTGCTACTGGAAAAGGTAAAATTGCTATTGTTTTGAGAGATGGTTCAGTTGATTATATTGATGACGTTTACTATGTACCGAGTTTGACCTATAATTTTCTTAGTATTGGTCAACTCGTAGAAAAAGATTATAATTTGCGTGTTAAGGATGGGGTATGCTCTATCAGCAGTGATAAATTGGGAATAATTGCGAAGGTTAGAATGACTCAAAATCGCACATTTCCCCTCACTATCAAACATAGTGATTCTTAGTGTTTTTACAATATAGGCTTTGTATGGTTTAAACAAGTTCCATTTGATACTTATTTCTTGGAGAGTGATTTTATGAACTAGTTTTGGTTGTTTTAACTACTTAATCAATCTTGTCGTTTTTAATGATTAATTGTTATTGGTTTCTGCATCTAGTATTGAAGTGGACGGTTTGGTGTATTTAAACAGTAAGATTTTTCTCCCTAGGAATTTTTTTACTGTGAATGTTACATGGTTTTAAATGAATGAATCCTCCTTTCTTAAATTTTACTCATTCCGTTTTAAAATTATTGTCCAACTTAAATTTTAAATTTTAGTTCCATTTTTTTAGTTTTAGTTGAACTAAAATTGAAAATTCAAGTCCGACAATAAGATTGAAATAAGAAGAGTACTATTTTGTAATTATTTAAAGTGACCTTTTAAACATCACATCGAGAGACACTATTTTATAATTAATTATTAAACTAAAATATTATCATTAGATTTTTTTTTTTTTCTGGGACGAAGAGATTATAACCAAAAAGAAGAAAAGGGATACTTTCTTTAGGGAAGAGCATATTCAAATGATTCAGTCAAGCAATGACTGACCAAATTCATATAACATATGCAGAACATTAGGATACTTTCAGGCACGATCAATATTGTTAGAAAATAATAGTATTGCATTTCCCCCAAACCCCTCCTGACCATCATTTCCTTTCAACTTTAATTTGGCAGTAAAGATGTTCCTTTGCACGGGAAGAGCCTTCCTCTGCTTCTGATCACACAACCCACAACCAACAAGCTAGCTAGTGGACCAGCCGCCACCATTGTTGATGATGAATAACGATGATTATAATAATTGGTTTTGTAAAAAAGTTCTGTTTTAAAATTACGTAATTTGCAGATTTTCTGGAAATTCACAGTCCCCCACTGATCCCCATGAGAGAGTATCCCACTGTCTCAGTATGGCTTTTAACTGATCAGAAAAACAAAATTTTGGGAGAGGGGCACAGAAAAGACGAGTATATGTCATAATAAAAACTAAGTAATGACCGAACCAGTCCTTATTATATGTATCCCGAAATAAAAGACTCCCAGCCCATAAAGACAACGACCGAAACTTAGGGCAAACGGACAATTTTTTTGCTTCTCCAAGCTTTGAGACATTAAATGAGTCGCAAGCAAGTGTCCCTTTCTAAAGTGCGAAGTGATAAAGTGGTGGGAGTAAACATTATTGAGGAGGCTACATTAGTATCTGTCCTTGAGGGTTTTTACTCTTTTTTTTTTTCCATCCATTTTCACGAAAGACGTTATATTTCGGAACATGGAATCAATCAGCAGCGCAACTATATAATCGTGCCTTTATGGGTAATTCTAACTAATACAAGATCAAGTTGTTGATTGTACACCTATATATAACTTCATCTCCCCAAATGTGTGTGGAATGAAACTGGATTTTAACCCGCTTAGTATGTAAAAATGTACTTTCTATCTATTCGAAAATTATTGTCTAGTCTGGATTTTCATTTGTCATATAATTTAAATTAAAAAGAAAATTTTAAACTGGACAATAAATTCGAGAGCGAGAGAATAATAAAGAAAAGGAACGGAGAACAAGACATGTCTTGTGGTGTTTGGATATGAAAGTGTTGGGTTTTATGGATAAAATTGATCATATTAATGTGTGGAAGAGATCGGTGATTAAAATTCCCTTAATCGAGGTTTATTGCTAATGGTACCATAAAATTTAAAACATTTCACGAGTTCGATGCAAATTCACCGCTAGGAAACAACAATTTTGTCAAATCTCTCAATTATGATGATGATGATCAATAAAAAAAGAGGGCGCCATTTTCATATGCGGGTCTCGTAGCCTGATCCTTTTGTCTCCTATGTTTTGGACTAATTCTCATTTCCCACACCTCTCTCTGATGTGTGTTTTCTTTACCTGCCCTTTTCTGGCGGATTGTTACATCAGCCATGTAATAATAATGTGTAGCAAGATTTGTTAGAAATTGTGACGAACAAAAAATCACCAGTTATGTAGACAACCTGTCAGTGATCACTTCAGTCGTTCGTTACTTACGTACGTTTGCATCAAACATGAAAAGATCATCCGAAACACAGATGATTCCTTTTTATAGTATTAACTTTTGTGTTGTGATTATATCGCTGCCCTGCACTAAATTTTTTTGGGAAAAAATGTTGCTAGCTAGATATAGCTGCTAATTAAGGTCTGTGTTACCCAAGGTAATGAAAGGACGAATCCCGATTCCTAAATCTTTGAATCTGCAAAGAAATGAGAGTATATTTTGTTATTTTACGCTTGTCCCTGTGCTATATTCCAAACTCTAAGCTTCAAATGACACCAAAATTTGGCCATTAGTTTTATGAATAATTTCCGTTATTCTATGTGATTGCGAGTTTATATGCATGCAAAGTTAATTAAACAGTGAGTTATAGTTGGTGATATGCCCCATAAAAGAGAAGTTATAAAGAAATGCCGTCAGCTTAGCGGCGAGCATCAATGCAGAAATCTACTGGCTGTTGAAATGTGCATCATTGATCAAGGACCAAGATAATTAACATGATCAGTATTCATACACACTGTCAACTTTTCTATGGTTTTGACTTCATATACTCTATTAATTTGTCTAAACAATATAAAAAAAAAAATAGTCTACTTTAATTACTCCCTCCATTCCAAAATAAGTGTCATCCTACACTTTGCACATAATTTAAGAAACTATTAATTAGGGTAATAAAATTACTTGAATATCCTCAACTAATCCCATTAAAACAATGTCCACCAATAGTATTAATTCTTTTGAGGGTAATTTTGAAAACTTTGAACAAAAAATGCATTGAAATGTGAGAACCACATTTATTTTGAAATTTCTTCATTTTGCTAAAACGACACTTATTTTGGAACGGAGGGAATAGTAATTTTTTTTTTCAAAAAAGAAAAAAAAATAAAGATTGTGGTGATCGAACATGTCCATCGCTGAGGTGAATTTCACAACTGATTATCAAGCCTTTCTTATCCCAACAAGTCATAAAAATTTTCATATAGTATATAATACGTTATTTATCATTATTTATTTCTTTATTTTAAATTAAATAAAGGAAATATGTTGTTTTAGAAAATTTGAATAACAATTTGGTGGAAAGGGTGATCAAGTCTCACGAGCAATGTTCTTGTGAAGCTCAAAATACATTCTTAATTTAATCGAACTAGCTAGAATTGTTATTTTATTTCATATGAACCGTGAGGATTCCCACGGACCTATAACAATGAAAGACTTCATACTATGGACAGTGCATTTAGGCAATCAACTTTGTTAAGAGCACTAAATAATCAAAGATTAGGAATGATATCATGCAAAAGATAATAATAATTTTTTTAAAAAAAACAGTTGCACATGAGATACTACCCGCACATGCTTCAGGAGTAGGTTTGGTTAGTTCGATAGTACGTAGTGTATGATTTTAAAAATCAAAATTATGTATAGCTTGTTAGATCATGAAAAACAAGTATTCAACTGATGATCTACTGTTAGCATTCTGTTGTTGCCTCTATAAATAAACTGATCTATTCATCAAAAGAGAAGAAAGAAATAAACAATATTTCCATTTTGGCATGCGCAATTTGATGTAACGTAAAACCACGACCGTTAAGGAATTTGTAATCTGGCATATCAACCCTTTTAATTAGGTCATGCATATACATACATGCCTTCAATTTTTAGTTCAGAATTAATTTCAAACTTATCCTATAATAGATTACCGAAAGGAGCCCTGAAAAATTCTTCCTGTTTAATTAAATCTGGATGGGAAGTTCGGTAATGGATGACCGATGATTCATGAAGAAACAATGTGATGTTGATAAAGGAGGCTTATAATGGCTCGAGGCTCTTCCACATTGAGGGCTAAACCATGACTGAATCATGATGTGAATTATAAGAGAATAGTACATTCTCATTCTCAAAGGAAAATGATATTCGTTTCATTAAATTTATCTCACCATTGCATCTCACCTTACATGTTAATTATTTATTGGACAATAAATTTTCTTAACTTAGTGCACCACTTCTTATAACATATTTAAATAACTCAATTTAAATATTATATTTATGATCAATATTGGTCCAATTGATAAATCTTTTGCACTATTATAATTTTTTCCTTTACTTTTTCTGGGTTTAGGGTCTATTTATTTTTAAATTTTAGGTACAAAAATATCTAAAAAGTCTATACATTTAATAAAAATAATTAAATTCACTTATTAAATTTCACCCAATAATTAATTGCCACATAAAGTGAGATACAATGGTGAGATAAATTAAGAGAGTTGTGTATTATTACTCATTCTCAAAATGTAATAGTTTGTCATTAGTCATTATTGCTTGTTTGGACGTCATCTTATATTTTATGTTGCCACTTAAAAGTGGAAAGTGTTTCAAGTTGAAAACTAAATGGGAAATGAAAAAATGTTGTTTGAATGGTATTTTGAGCAAAAAATTGTTTGGACGTTGGTTTTGAAAAAAATATTTTGAACTATATTTTGAAATATCAAGTACGAATCATCACTAAACAATTAAATACTGTCAATTATAATTACTTTAAAAAAAACTTTTCCAAAAACAATCACTAAACAACAGAAACCTGGCAAATTTGTCACTCTAAGATTTTCCTTTGTTAGATTTCGTCACTGAACTACTTTTTTTTCAAAAATGGTCATTACACTAACAAAAAGTATTTCAAGTTGGAATTTAAAATGTAAATCAGAAAGTTGTTTGGATGATGTTTTCTTTTCTATTGGATTTTATGTTTAAAAAGTAAAATGAGTTAAAATGTAAAATGGGTGCTTGTCCAAACAAACACATATACCTTTCTCTTTGTCAGGAAAAAAAATGTGATGTTGATAAAAAGTCGAATTAAACGTAGCCAATGCGGCATGAATAATTTCAAAAAAAAAAAAAAAGAAGGGAGGGGAATGCCACGTCATATTAGTCTAAGAGTTTATTAGTTACTCCATAGTCCATCCCTCCAATATAAAAGTACTATTTTTGAAATAAATTGATAAATACAATAATAAACATAATTTTTTGGACGGAAGAATTAAGTAAATCGTGAAAATAATTGCAATACATGCATCGGACTGTCGGACCCACATTAGGAAAGCGATGGAAGAAACCATAGGAGATTAGTGTGATTGTGTGAAGATAACTAATGTTTTTGTCTTTAGTTGTTTGATGGGATGAATGATGATGATGTCACTGCATGCTTAAAAACCTAACTTTAAATAATGCCACCGATAATGTTATCATTTTTTTTCCCCTAATGAAGATACGATGAAGGCCACATCTCCTTCCCTTTCGCATCAATTAAACGTCTAAAGATCATACTAATTTAATTAGTAGTACAACTGGAATGTTATAACAAAAAATCAAGGTCTAAATCATAAGATATGATCGTTTACTCATGTGTAACTCGCGCGAACACCATAAATAACCCAATGAGAAAGACAAATAAATTACCTAGGTTAATTTTTAAATTAAAATTACTCGGTGCAACTCTTGCTGAAGTAGTGAGTCACTCCGTATGGGGTAAGACTTTTGCTTTGATAAGGGTTTTTTTTTTTTTTTTGTGTGTGTGTTTTTATAGTAGACATCGTGAACTCAATACAAGGAATAATCCAAAAATAATAAGATAGTACATTCTTCGGTACTTTTTCTTCTTTTATCCAGCTAGTTCCCATTCTATCATTTCCCTCCCTGATTGTATGTCCGTTTATTTATTTATTTTTTTGGTTGCCTGTCACGGTTTTCGGAACTTTGGCCCAACTTATTCGTTCGTCGACCCAGGTCGCGTACCTGGCTGTGGCGGATGAATCTTCCAATAAAGGTCCTTTGCATAACCCGAGATCTTGCTTAAGCGGTGTCAAGTTGCTTACCACTTGACCCAATCTCGGTTGGTTGTATGTCGGTTTGTTTGGGACCGTCTAATTAGAAAGTAACTAATAGGCCCAAAGATAGAAAGTACGACGTACATGCCTTGACGATGAGATGCCAAAGCCCAATGTTATTGAGTATTATAAATCCTGCTATGCTAACTATACTGGGCAACCAAGTTGATCTGCGCAATGACCCATTTATGTCGTATAGCTTCTGCAAAATATTTTTTCTTTTCTTTATAAAATTTTTTGGTAATTTCCAATTAGAATCAATACAATTTGAATTCGGCTATACGTTTCACTTTCACATTTGGATTAGGATATACAGGATTGGGATGTTAGTTTTCCTGTCCTCGAGTTAGGAAAAGGGTAAGTTGATCTGCTTATAAATACACCACAAATATACAGGATTGTGTAGACGTGCGTAAAAAACTTAAAACAAACGAACTAAGAACTGGTGGTAGTATCATTCTTGGTCCAAATAGCAACAAAACGAAATCCTAGCCAGTGAAATCACGATGGGTTTAGCGAATAAAAAAAGTCGTCCACGGAAGCGGCAAAAGCGTTGTAATGGTATGATGATGACGTTATTGGAGTGGATCGGATTAGCGACTTACCCGAAGCGATCATTTGCCACATTCTTTCTTTCCTTCCCATGAACTCTGTTGTAGCCACGAGTTCGTTGTCCAAAAGCTGGAGACCTCGATGGACTGAAGTAACCAGCTTCCACTTCGGAAATCGGTGGTGGCCTGACGGTAACGGCTTGGATTGCGCCCAGTTTGTTAACAAGTCTTTACGGAGAAATAATAATGAGTCATCGCCCGCCATCCACAAGTTTGGTCTCCAATGGGACAGTACTTTTGCATCCGGATTTAACCCCAACATGTTTCTCACCCGCTGTTTGCTCTCCGCTGTTTGTCGAAAAGTTCGGGTTGTCGATTTGGATGCTTTTAGCGTGAGAAGAGGTGGAATTTCCATACCGGAGGAACTTTATACTTGTAAGACACTGGAGATTCTAAAATTAAGAGGGCCATTTGAGGTTAAAGCTCCTCCACCCGACGAGGAGGTCGAGGTTTTTCTTCCAAAACTTGTTCATTTGGAACTCAACTTTGTTCATTACTATCATGTATCGGGCGATGAGTTCATTCATAAGCTAATTCGAGGTTGCCCAGTTCTCCAATCTCTAAGAATTGAAAGAAATCAGTACTTCTCTGACTCCAAGGATGTAAGTTGGTCAATTTCTTCCCCTGCATTGGAATGCCTTGAGATCTATTCCCATGACGATGGTTGCTTCAAAAGGTGTGAAACATTAAATTTCAAGCTGGAAATTGATGCGCCTGCACTCAAGAAGCTTGTTCTCATTGATCGAGTTGCGGGAGAAATTTCGATACGTGGAGGAGGACTACTGTCGATAGATTAATCGGATCTTGATGTTTTCTGTTTTGATCGCGCCATGAATAGGGAATATCAGAATTCCATTGTTCGGTTGATCCAGGATTTGAACCATGTGAAGATTCTTACATTATCAGAGGAAACCATGGGAATGCTTAGCAGAGCCACCAGGAAATTGTCATCAAGTACAAGTTAGTGGTCAACCACAGCAGGTTTTGATAGATTAACCAAACTGGTTGTCACTCTTGATTGCCTAACTCCATGGATGTGCCTGATTGACCTAATCAATTACGGTCGTACCTCGTCATTAGAAATCCTTGAGATCACCAGTTTGCCGCCGGGTGCTGATGGAATGCAAACAAGAATTGAGGTTCAACGAAGGCGTTGGAAGGATCAACTTGACATCCGATGTTTGATGAGGAGGGGTATGAATTTTGTTCCCAGAGGCTCTTTATCCAAACTCAAACGAGTTCCATATAAGGGATACACAGGCCCTGACGATGATGAGATGCCGATGTTGAAGTTCATTCTAGGACTTGCTACACAGACCAAAACAGTTGATCGGCACGACGACCCTTTAAATTCTGAACTCACGTTTTCCTTTGTTTGAGATCGATGATGTGATGACGATGATGGTGTTAAGGCCTTTCATTCGAAAAAGGAAAACGGTGACTACTACTTGAATGGATGTTACAACGTTTAACTGCAAAGCATAAATGTAGATTTGGCTGCCCTCATTCAAAACTATCTTAATTTTAGCTCTCAAGTAAGGTCTTATGTAATCATATTTTGGACTTTAATACTTTTCATTCTTTAGATGGTAATAAAAGAATTCCATTGCTCTTGATCATCCAATTTGATACTAACCATGTTTTGTCCCGTGCCTTCTTAAAGGAAGGGATCGATGGGGGAAGAAAGTGTGCAAATGTGCCAAACTTTCAGTTAGTGTAAAGCTACCTACTCTGAGACGTGTTTTGATGCATAATCAAACACAATTTTGGGCACTAGTTTTGACGAAGCCGATGTTCCAATTTCGAATAAAATAAAAGATCATATTAACACGAACAAAGAGTTGATGATGTAAACACATGATGACTCTCATAAATTCTGAACTCACAATTTCGTTTGTTTCAGATGAATAGGGTTTATCATGCCATAATGGTAAAACACCCTTTATATTCACGATATTAGTGAAAGTCTTTCACACGTTAGTTGAAATTTTGATTTTGTTCACATTTTTAAACTAGTGCATCAATACATGAGTAAATTATGATTATGCGGTAGAAATCATGATTTTGAAATGAGATTTAGGTGAGAGAAAACTAAACACACTGTAAAATTCAAGAACACCCGACCATATACCATCAATTAACAAGACAATTTTCATAAATAAAATTTAAAAGTTCCTTATTGGTTTCCATTAAAACATCCTGATCATGAATCCACATATAAATTAGGACAACAAAATTGTTGACATCACGACCAACTGAAAGAACACTACTTCTACTTGCACTATTAATGTGAATGTATTTCACACGTCAGTTGAACTTCACAAATCACTAAATCTTTTACAATGTTTATAACTGAAAATTTTTCCATGGTTGCTACAAAAACGAACAAGCTGAAAACTAAGAAGAATCAAAACTAGGAATTCTTCCATACTTGATATCGTAAAACTAATGTTCGATTATTTAGGCATAAGCCATAGTAATCAGGAATGTGCATTATGTGTATGAGAAGCAGCAAGAAACAGTGCACCAGCTCCTGAACCTCCATGCGAATGCTCTATAATCACATTATCTGATAGCTCGCTTCCCAGCATCTCCCAAACACTGCTGTGCAGATAGTTTCTGAAGATTCGATAATGCTCATAAAGACCACCTTCGACTGTAATAACGCTCTTTCTGTTGGCGATTCTTCCTAACTTTTTAACAAGTCCTACCATTGTAGCCCCCACAAGGCGAGCGCCACGTTCTGCAACAATGTCGCAGATCTCAGCTACTACTTCTCTTACCATCGGTGTGGTGTTCGCTATCTGAGATGAAAGTTATTGGCATTATCAACTTAAATGAGTAATACTTCATTCAGATGTAAGATCATTTGATTGACAACAATGTTATCTGATAAGAAACGAAATGGTAGGACTGAAAAATGTTACCATTCATGACAGTGAAAACTTTTTCAACAAATTCTACCTCAAATATTTCTTTTAGTTTCTCATCTACTACTTTATAATCCTCTGATGTATCTTGATGCATAGCAGCTAAGTCTGGTGACCTGCGATTTGAAAAACGATCTTATAATTCTTGCAGCATCTGCATCTAACATGTGAAATACTTAGGAGGGATTGCTTTACCTCAATATGTAAGGGGTTATGAGTTTGGTTGGCACAATGTCTCCGAATAAAGCAGTCTCTTGAGCCATCTTCAGTAAGACTTTTCTTACAATTTCTCCTAAGTACATACCTGAAACCAGCTTTTCAAATACCTGAGGTAGAAAACAGGATTCAACAAGGACGCCATGAGTTTCATGAATAGCCGAAATCTAAACATCCAAAAGGTGGTGACTGCAGATCAGCTCCCTACCCGAACACCTGGATTTGTGCTTTCGAGATCCATGGTAGCATCAAACTCTGTTAAAGGGAGGTTGACAGAACTGAAATCTCTCAATTGCATGTTAACAACCTGCAAAATGAATAAAAAGTACACATTTATGTTGGGTTCTTTTGCACGAACATCAGTATGGTTCTTAAGATGATGCAACACCACCAACCATTTCAACAGAGTTGGCTGATTCGGTTTGCAACTTTTGAGCTTCTTGTGCTATTTCTGTGTAAGCGACATCTATGCCCATCCCCATACTGATGGCAGCCACACTATCTCTACTGTAGTACCTTCCTCCAGCTAAATCACCAACCACCTCATCGACCTGCAATATTCTTGGATCATTATTGTGTCGATCAAACTAGTTCTTCGGCTTGTTGCTTGATGCTGGAGGAAAAATCTAGCTTGATATTAGGTTAAAACAACTTACTACAGCGGAAACTTGCATATCCACGCTGTGCGTTGTCAAGGCATGATTGATTTCGGTTGTCAATTGCTCCCTAACCTGAAAACAATTAGAATTATAATGTAGGCATCATTTGGAATTGAAGACAGAACCTCTTTAATCATGACAATTAAACCACAAACAGAGAACATTTTGTTTGTAATTTCAGTACAAGTGTGTAACATAACATCCTGTTTTCTGACATCTTAATCATCATACATATACAGTTCATGTTTATAATATTCATATCATTAAATATAAGACAGCAGTAGGCTAGTAGCCAAGAATCGAAATGGCTTAACTGTGTGATCATTTAGCTTCTTCCAATCAATGGCTTTGCAGGCTGAGGCAACATCTTGATCTACTGGAGCAGAAATAGTGAATCCAAGCTTAACTTTCTCCAGTTTTGCCACCCCAGAATTGTCGTCATGCATAGAAATAAATTTGGAGAGCTCTAAAGCAATGAAATCAAACAGTTCCTGCATTGTTCATCAACCAAAAAAAATGCTAACTTATCAAACAAGCAATTCGGATCACGAAAGAGTGTGTTTTTTGACTACCTTGGATTCACCAGTGATGAGATTTGGGGGAATGTGAGTCTCTTGACGTTGTAAATCATAAATTGGTTCATTCTTTCCTCCAAGCCGTGCCTTTAGAATAAGGAAACTATTGCCTCGGAGATTTATCCCGTAGTACAGTCCCGCCTCATCACTATACCAAATGGACAAAGTAAGATCGTCCCAAATAAATGAACCGTGCAAGAATTAAGTACTATAATATGCACTACAAAAAATGGGGGTGAATTTCAGGTTGATGTTTTACCCAGTTGGAAGTGAAACGGAGTAGGAAGGAAATGAGGACATCTGAATTTTGGGTTTGTCGGAAGCCAGACCCGATTGCATTTCGGCCATCAGCTCATTGGCAAGAAGCCAAAGCTTGGGGACTGGAGCCGCACACTCACTCGCCAACTTACGAAGAATCCGTTGCGTATGCCTCCACCGGTTTTCTCTCTGTCGTTTCCATTTATGGAGTAACACCGCTCCGCCAACAACCGCCACTGCCGTCGTCGCGGTTGCCGCCACCACGATCACCTCCTTTCTCATCACTTTGTACTGATTTAGTTTTTAGAAAAATCTAAATATTTCTGCTGCGTGGTTCTGTTTATGGCTAACCGGCAAATATAACATCGTTATAGATTCAGATAGACTAATGGTAATGCTAAAGCTAATAACGGACATGGCAAATTTTAGGTAGGAGAAGATGCGAACGAGTAATACGGATGAATAATCTGCGGAGTTTAACTGCTTTTTTTAACACTTGCAATCTCGGCTTCTTGGGTCCATCTGGCCACATTCTCTAATCTTCATATAAGAAAACGTGGTTGATAGATTTTCTCAATCACGTTTTTTCAGGTAAACGGTTTCAAAACTGGATATTAGACAAATTGCAACAATGAGTACATTAAAAAAAATTTCGTCCAGCTAAACTACAAAAGATGAACTAATACAACCACTCCGGTTTCCAGTTACATTCAATTAGGTTAAGAGCACAAAAATCAATCTTGAATCTCAAAGTGGCCAAGTAATTCGAAAACTGTTTACTTTTCCCCAAAGAACAATCCTTTAATCTATTTTCATCAACATAGTAGTTAACAAATCACCAGGATTAAATCTATGTTACAAATTCCTCCCTAACAACTGAAGGTTCAGGTCTCCTGAGCCCAGACTTTGACTGTTTTGTCCTCTCCGAGAGCACCGGATGCAATCATATTCTCAGTTGGATGAGATGCCACGGATATGACAGTATCGGTGTGACCTTCTAATTTCTGAACTACTTTTCTTGATTGAAGCTCCCAGATATAGATGGAACTATCCTCCGAACCGCTTACAATGTACTTCCCATTTGTTATCGAAAAAGTCGCAGCAATGCAGTACTTTGAATTCACATGACCTGTATAAGTTTTGAGGAACTTGCCAGTTGAGAAATTCCAAAGGCGCTGCAACCACAACACCAGAAATTTGCATAGAGTAAGATGGCAATTGTAAGGTAAAGTATAGAACCTCAACATTGGATTGGGGAACATCTTAAATTTGAGAAGCAATTCGAATTAACAAGAATAGGAACATACAAACCAAGGATAAACGATGTCAACAGCAAAAGTTCTTGCATTCTAATGACAGCAAAAGTTCTTGTACTCTGATGAACATAAGAGTGAAAATGCACCAACTAGGTAAGAAGTAAAGCAATATTTTGCAACCTAGACCCCCAATGGTTGAATTCAACTAGGCAACAAACTACAGAACCCTGTGAAACAATTAGCTTTCAATTTCATCTCGGACCAGAAGAACCTCAACAATAAGTAAATCAGCAATGATAATCTTTTCAAATACAATTGAATAAAGTCACCAGCTTTTTTTACATCATTTTAGAGTATAATGGCTGCTTCTGCAGGGTAAACGAACAGGAGACATGCATCATCTCAGTCCATCTCACATTAATCTCAGTCCATCTCCCATTAGAACCTATTACCTAACTTCTAGCCAACTATTCATAAGGTCCAACCAAGGGCTTCAATTGAGAAAATGTAGAACTGCAATGATGATTCAATATAAGCAGTTTCGTTAAAAACACGAGATAATAGTCTATGATTGAGCATGTGTAGCAAAAGCATCACAAACAAGAATGATAACAGGGAACTCTACTTGAATACCCCAAAAACCAAATCTTACATCCAAAATGCACTGCACTGTAAAATGAATAATATTTCATGTAAAATTAGCAAACACTCCGATAGAGCAAGAATAAGAACAGAGACATACCAAAGTATTGTCCAAAGTGCCGACCAGAATAAACTTGCCATTGGGTGAAAACTTCACGAAGCTCACTGGTGGATTCTCATCATCAATCAGTGTCTTTAGGCAATGCCCAGTAGAAGCATCCCAAATCCTACATAATCCATCATAGCTGCTAGAGACAATCAGTGAACCATCACGATTAAAATTAACCGCCGTCACCGGGTCAGAGTGAGCCGGCAACACCTTCAAGCACTTGCCGGACTTAACATCCCAAACCCGAACCGTTTCGTCGAATGACCCGGAAACAAGCATGTTGGATTGAGGATTATAGTTCACACAGAAGACATAATTGGTGTGGCCCGTCAAGGTCTTCACTAGGGTTCCGGTGGAAACATCCCAGAGGCGGACAGTCTTGTCGTCGGAGGCGGTGGCGATGTGACGGGCGTCAGAGGAGAATGCGACATCGGATATACCTTGCTCATGACCCACAAACTCTTGAAGGAAGGAGCCATCGGAAGGAGACCAGGTTCGGACGGTCTTATCGGCGGAGGCGGAAGCTAGAAGCCGGCCGTCATCGGAGAACTTGACGGCGGAGATAGCTTTCTTATGACCTGTCAAGTTATACCTTAGATGATAGGACTTGAATAATTCAACTGGGTCTGCAGTGGTAGCCATGCCCAACTTAATGGATCTTCTGAAGAATCTTAATTTTATTTGATGTTTGGAGGCTTAAGGGATTTAGAATAAGAAGGAGAAGCAGCAAACCGATAAGGAGGCGAGAATTGGGTTTCCCTAATTACGAATTCCCGCCAGGGTTTTGGAATTGGGGGGAAAATTATATGCCATTGAAGTCCGGACACTTATTTATTGTACTCGACTAACGTAGTCGAACCTCCTTGTTTTTTGTTAGCTCAACTCTGTAACTCTGTCCCTTTTCCACGAAGTACTTGGTTACTAGCAAGAAGTATGGCCTAACTTCCACAAAGTATTTTCATTATTTTCATAATTCCAGAGTCCAGACTCTTAACTTCCCTATAATTTCTTTAATGTCCTCCGGTATGCTCCATACTCATGAATAAAAAATTAGATAATAATGTGGGAACAAAAGTGTTTCATTACCATTGACAGATGATTCTCATTTTTTTTGTCCCAATTTTTGAAAAGGAAATAAGTCAGTAAATAAATTGGACAGAGGGTCAAAGTGTCACACCCATTTATATTCTTTGGATTATTTCATCGAAGGAAGAACAATATTTTCTTATTTTGATAAACAAGGAAGAACAATATAATCATTGGGTTTGTATTACTAGTGGAAGGAACAATGGAGTAATTGGTTGTAATAAATAATAACAAAAGCCTAAAAGGCTTCAGGCTGTCAATTAATGAACTGTACACAATTGTAAAGTGCTGCACCGATGAAACTATTTTTTCTGATAACTCCCGTTCAAGGCTTCCTTTTTGCCTCTAACGGTCCGACCTGATTCAATATATCTAATTCAGGTTCTCTGCTACAACTACTTCAGGCGACCTTAAACCTAAAAGAAATGTTCTACATGTACAAAACTAGGCTAATATCGTGTCAGTCAGCAAACTTTGTATTCGGCCATCAACATGGTTCGGAGAAAATGTATCCATTTTCGGGAGAATGTGCGATGCTGGTGGCCTTTGCAACACAAACCTATCTCAATGGTCCTAACATAGCCGAAGGCGAAGATATGTACACAGGGCAGATAATTGAAAGTGGATCTAGAGGTTAGACGTGACGAGGACTAGAGTTCATTTGATGAATTGTGCAAGTGCAGAGGAACGAGAATCAAAGCTAGATGTCTCTTGAGGCGGCAGATTAGAAGATCTTGATTTGGCAGAAACTTGGTTTGGAATACCAGTACCTTGACCAAACGGGCCATCTCGAAATGGACTATGGGTAGAGCCATCAGGAGTAGTTTCCATTCTTCTCTCTGAGTCCTTGTTACAAGGAGTTCCAACTCTAACTTGTTGACCTGAATGAGAATTTCTGCTATGGAATTCGCCCATACATTCTCTGAAAGATTTAAAGGTTAACAAAATTTGGTGTTGCAAAATATACATGGGATTAAGAAGCATGGCGCAAGTACGGAAATAAAGGTGTGCATATTTGTAAGAGTAATAGTACATGAATACCTCTTCTTGTCTGCTATTTCTGCTGCACGGAGATACCTCATTTCTGTGAATCAATGGATCACACAGTTCCATCGGAGATCTCTCAATGGTTCCACGCTGTGCATTAGGCCCACCACTAAACCAGTTCTGGCTGGTGATATTCACACATGTAGCCGGGGAGTGATCCTGAGCCATGTAATAGTAGGAACTACGGTGCTCCTCCCCATAATATGCCCGAGATGATTTCCTGTTTTCAGTGGAAAACAATGGTGTACTAAACTCTTGGCGTTGTGGAAAGCTCTGTGATTCTCCATTGTGAAGTTGGTTATATACGCAACCAGATGAAAGAGAATATCTACTACTACATCCCAGACTTGGTGAAGATAACCTGTTTACAAGTCCAAGTTGGTTTGTTGTTGTCCAGTTTTCAATGGTCATTCCTTGCTTTGCAGCCAGCTCCATTATCTGCTTCTCATCCAGTCCAAGACTTACGAGCAAATTCCATAGGTTCTTAAAGGCTTCCCTCTGATTGTTGATGACTTGATCTCTCATTGCCATCTCAAACTGAAGCTCTGTATTTGCAATACCCTGCAAGTAGTGATGGTTCAAGAATTGAGAGACCCAGAAAACAAGTCGACAATCCAACAGCCAGCACACGGCAATACAAACAAGGTGCTAAACTGACCAGTAATTAAGAAAGCAAAGCTATAAGCTTGCGTGGGGAACGCACTTGCTTTCCACTCTTATTCAGAAAAGGAGTTAATTGCTGCTATTTTTATTACAGAATGAAAACTGAGCATAGTGTCATACCAAGAGCCTGTATTGACTCAAGATGCGCAAATAGGTTTTGTTGCCATTGTTGCTAATTGCTTCTTCAATCATATTCTGCAGCTGGCATCTCCGCTTCTCATTGGATTCTATTTCCTGTGGATTTGAAGTTTTTTTGCCAAACCATCAGAACAAAAAAAAAAAAATGAATCAACAATCTCGAACATTGATAGCTACATCACCTTCTTGTAGTGTACACCAAGTTCATCATTGTCACGAATATTATCAAGGATCACTTGCCGTCTCACTCGTAAAGCCTGAACAACTGCTCCATCTTTTTCAATGTCCTGTGATCCAAGGAACTCAATTTCATTTGGTATTGAATACAGTTAATAAAGATTCTAAATGTCTCCTATGTCCCATCGAAGAAGAGTCAGCAAATTGTACTTACGAGGGTAAGTTTTAGTGGAATACATATCATCATTCAAGCTACATCATACAAAAAAAGCAGTCTCATACTGAAATCAGAGACTAATCAACCTGTTGTTTAGCAATAGCATCGTCAAGCTGCTGGAGTTCAGTGCGGTTGCGAAGGTTAATTTCCTCGATTTCAAATAAGGCCTTCTGCAAGTTTATACGTTCCTGGACATTTTCACTGGTTTCTTGGCTCAACGAGTTCAACCAAGATATCTCATCATCTGCAGCCTTTTCAGATGGCTTAGCACTTAACTGGGATTCCTTCTCAGATAATTCCTTTCTCAACCGGCTTACTTCATTCTGCAGATGTTTTGTACAACATATATGAGAGCCATATATAGATTACCTACTGCTTTGGTGTATCAAATGGGTTACCTGTAGACTGTCAATCATCCTCTGATAGTCCGATACATGTGTATTTATTGTGCCAATATTTTTCTGTCAAGGACACAGATTCATCAAGGCTCGAGCACAGGACAAGTAATGACCATGGTATAAAAAAAAATATGTTGAAATTTTCTAGCCTCGAAAAGATAAGAGTTTTAAATTTTGAACATGATAAAATAATGTACAGACACGTAGATGACTGACACCAGTCATTGATGGCATCTACTGGTACATGGTAACCTTAACTCTGGTAATGGAAAATGTAAAAAGCTCACTCAGATGAAAATTGTCAATATTTTGGAAAGCCTACGGATATGCAACTCACTTCACAAATTGATAAAGCAGGTACTTTCTTCAAAAAAAAAAAAACTACACTAATTGATTCTTACAAACAGCAATCTTTGGTTGGTTTTCCGTCTGGTCAGATATTCTTGTAGGATTCAGTTAAACCCTAGTTATTTAAGGCACCAGCTATAATTAGAGAACTCTGACCAGACCAAACATCATTTCATAATCTAATTCTACATGATAAGTCAATAATAGATAACAAACCACAAAATGTGATTAAGCTACAGACGTGAGCATATCATCTAGACATCCTCTAATATTTAGTTGATGCAAAACAAGGGAGATTTTGACTTTTCCCTCGAGGAACACGAGTGCATATTTGACTCTCACCTGGATATGTGTTCTGATCTCTTTTGCCCGGTTGGCATACTTCAATGTGTTGATAGTATGGTGATACTGACCATCAGCTGGTGATATGGTAGCAATCATTATTGTTTGGGAATTCCCGCTCAGGCCATCTTTTAGGATCCGAGTCAATTTGCTGCGAAAGATGAACAAGCATGAAAATCAAATGCAACGGCAGAAGAAACCTTTACATCATCGTGACCAGATTGTGATACCTGTTGCGATAAGGAACATATGCCAAACCCTTTTTCTGTTGTTTCCCAAGAGCGTTTATGCAGTTTGCTAAAGCTAGAAGAGATCGATTGATATTGGCACCATCCCTCAGCTTTTGACCTCCACTATTTGTTTCAGATGCGCGTTCACTGCAATGACAGATATTGCTCAGATTTCAGAACACAATTGACTCGGAAGGTAAACGTAGAAATAAACAGAGGGGGACCTGACCTGCCGGCTAAATCAACAAGGGAAAGTTTTCCTCGAACAACCTGATTAGGATATCTCTTACTCTGCTTTCTTATAACATTTATTCCCAGAACTGCATGTGAGCTGCACATTGGAAGCTATGGTAAGATGACTTAAACAAAACATCACATTAATAAGCAGTAAATACAAAAAATTTGTCCTCCATCATTGAGACTACATGTCTCGAGTGAGCTGTGAAGTACATGGAACCTCATCCTTTAAATTAATTGGAAGCGTATGAATTAAAAGATTTTTCTTTTTTGGTTCAAAAAATGATTGTTATGTATTGTAGCAAATGTCCTTTGAAAATGAAAAGGAGAAAATAGTTAAATAAATTTATGATAGTTTATCAACTAGACGGAGAATAATATGCATTGCAGGCTATCAAGGACTATTTCAGTATTAACTTAGCCAAACTACAAGAACAACTAACACTCAAAATGAAGAATGTTTCGACCTGAATAACCGATGAAAGAAGCGACTCAGAAAAGCCTCGAAGGCCATGAAGCTTGAGAACTTTCTACCTACTTAAAAAATTGTTAGAGACTATTAGTGGTCTTCTTTACAATTATTACTTGCAGGCTTGCTGCTACACAGACAATGTCAGCTCTCCAGTCTTCACTAACAGTATATGCAATCTGTTGTCAAAATCTAACAAACTAATTGAATCAAAAATACTGAGAGCAGATATTACTGACCGAGATGAAGTTTCGTTAGCTTCCGTGCTTTCAGTTTTGCGTCTACTGTTACCCAAGTTTAGAAGTTCAAGAATCTTATCAGCAGAGTTTACCTGCAAAAAAAAAAACAAAATATTTCAGCAAGTTCCACACATATAAAGGGTAGAAAAAAAAGCTGCAAGGCCGATTCAGAATCCAAATCATATGATGTTCAACAATTTCTGCCCGTTCATCACTTTTAAGAAGAAACAGCTCAATCAATGAAAATGTACTGAATGATGAAAGAGGACTGCAGATGGCCATGGCTAAGCATGTTCAGGAAAAATACAGTTATGCTCATTGTTCATCTAAACAGCTGAATGGCCAACTATAGACATTTGCATGCAACTTAAAATGCCTATGAACATCATATTGGCAAAAGAACGTGAGATACTAGTAGATCAGGAGTTCTTCATATTCAAATGAAAGATGGAGATGGGAACATTTACTTTTTTTCATTTTTTTGAGCAGTGATGGGAGCTTATCCACCATAAAAACAGCGTTTGTATTTACTTCTAAACACTAGCACGTCCCCACAATAACTCTACTAAGGGACAAGCACTAAATTCCCTATCCAAGCCCAATGATAATAGGAGGAGATTAACCTTGATGCTCCTAAGGCCAGCAACAGTTATCCCGTGCTCCGGATCCTCTCTCAGTTCCAGGTGACCTGATGATTTTTCGAGCAAATCATATATCACCTGCAATTTTCAAAGTTAAGTTATGGAAAGAATTTAACAAATAAGTGAATCATTTTTCCAGAGATATAGAAACCCTACCTCATTGTAAACTTCAAGATAAGAACAAGTAACTTCAAAATCATCACAGCTATCATCTTTCTTGATAAGATCGAAAATTGTTTTGAGACTGAGAACCATAAGACCAGGATCATCTTTAGTCCCAACCATCGTGTATGTTTTACCGCTGGAAAAACAAGCTTAAGTTAGATCTGGAATTGGCACGTGAAAGCAAATTCTTATAGAACTAACATTTAATGAATCTCTCTTGTGCACACTGCACGGATCCTTCATTTAACCATTGACAACTAATAACTAATAACTCCATTGATTCATTTTTTATTAAGATCAAGAGTATGAGCGAGGAAGTTGTAACTAGTAATAACAACAAAATGACTTTATTCCCTTTTACTTGCAATGGGTTGATTAATGCCTACTCTTTGTTTTAATTCAGTACCTTCCTGTTGAACCATAAGCAAAGATAGTCGCATTGAGACCTTGGATGAGTCCAGCAATTGTTGTATGTATGCTTCTCTTATAGACATCCTGAAAAACAATACAACCAAGTGATCAACAGAGCAGATGAAGGATGCAATCTGCAATCAGATGCCCCTTTTCATAATTCATAAGATGCATTCAATTCTTCTCGGAACATGAGATGTTTGTGAAACTCTTGTTCAAAACACCTCAAACAATAAAGGTAAGCAGGTATTATATGATGCATAAAGTATCTCGAGATTGAGGATATTTTCAGTTCCTTTTCTCTGCTGCTTGTTTTGCCGAAAAATAATGATAATAATCATTCATTCCGAAAGAGCAATTCCTATAACTGTCAATTTCCTATTTCCTTGGCAATACAGGAATGAATGAGGCAAAAGAACACCTCGAACCAGAACAGCAACGCTCTTAAAGCATATCAACGCTCCAAATACAAAGAAGTATTACACACCTAAAGCAGATATTTGCTCCACAAAACACATTTAAAGCATATAATTACAACCAAACACAGAGAATTAACATACCAAATTGGTTGAAGTAGGGCCAAAAGCATAATCAAAGTTGTATCTCCTTTCTTTTGTACGATTTTGTATCCGATCTAAATAGTCCTTTGACAAGTCTGGATCCAGCACGAGTATTTCCTGCATTACCCAATAGTAAATCACTTAACTGAGATACATCATCTGATCGCCTTCCACTCAGTTCGTTACAAACACGGTAAGAATTCACCTCGCAGCCAGAGTTCTTTCCAAATGAGACAACATAATCAGAGAAGGCACAACTTAAATAATACAACATACCTTATCATTGTGAACTCTAATAATGTCACGACCACGATCCCTGTCTGTCAACGGCCTACATTTCACAGCTACCTATTCACGCAATCAAACAGTGAACGAACAATTCGAAAAACAACGCAAAATGCATTTAAATTCGCAGAAAAAACACTGAAGAAGAAGAAGACAAACCGTGAGCGTAGTCGTCTTCTTGGCAGCTGGAGCTCTAATGCTCGGCATTATGCTTGAACACCATGCGCTTCCAAATTCCAATCCTACTCCACAAAAGCCCTAACTATAGCTCTAAAATTTGAGGGGGGAAAAAAAATCATCATGAAACTACGATAGAATCCTATTCTGAGCTTGAAAACATCAAATAAGAGTTTCTTAATCAGCTCAGAAACTCCGATTAATCTGTACAGGAAATGGAGAAAACAATACAAGCACGTTCTCCGATTACCCGAAAAAACGACAACAAAGATTTTGGGGGAAAATGACCACGAAATTGAGCTGCGGAAATGGACAGGAGGGAAAGTCAGAAGCAAATACGTTTTCCAATGACGGATTCAAATTTATCTCAGGATTGCGATAATTAATTTCATTATATTTCTTTTTTCAAAAATTTGAGATTCCGGTGCACTGGTAACGGCAAAGATATTGCATTGAATATAGCTTGAGCCGGAAAAGGGGAAAATTAAAAAATGAAAAAAAAAAAAAGCTACATTATGATGAACTGAAAATTTTTTAATTTAATTTAATTTATGAGGCGGGTAAATTGAAGAGAGTAAATTGGATTTTTCATTTTTGAAGAGAGGAAAAAAAAAGAAGAAGGAAGAAGAGAAAGACGGGAAGAGAAGGACGACACAAATCCTAAATGTAGACGTTTTCTTGGAGCTGCAGTTGACAAATCGAGGCCGCGTAATCGCGCTGGATCGTTTACTAATTTAATCGTGGCCGTTGATAATGATTGGTCGTTGATATTAGTATTTTGCAAAATTTGGTGGCCTCCCAGTTTCAGATGCCAGATAATAATAAATTAATTACATATACTGTATTCTGTTTTATGAATTAAATTTATTGTAAATCTACTTTTGGTACTAGTACTGTTGAGAAAATGTTTTCAAACAAAATTGAAATTTGTAATTGTTTGAAAATGTATAAATAAAAAGAATTTGGTGAAACTTTTTATTAATTAAAAGAGTTTCCTAACTTGTAGGACACCTCAGAAGCAAGCGTATGATCTCTGTAGTCTGTACCACACAGGCCACAGCAGCAGTTCACTTTCACTTTCGCTTTCAATTCGTTGCCCAGAAAAAAGAAAAAGCTGCAGCTTTGTGCTTATGTTATCATTTGTTAGTAGTTATTGACTATTTTTTCAACCTTTTCACCTTTTGATGTAAGATTCTCTGATAGTTTAAAAAAGGCATTAGTAGGAGTACTCAAAAAGGATTGGAGAACGACCCTGCAATCGCACATTTCACTTGGAAATCAGTGCATTTTGGGCATTTGAAATATAATTTGTCTCCAAACCAATCCAAAATACTTTAGTAACTAATTCCTCTAAATGCTAGCTATAACAAAAATATTAGTACTTCCGCCGTCCCATAATTATTGTTCACTTTACAAAAAAAAAATTTTGTCCTAAAATTATTGTCTAATTTAACTTTTTATGAATTAAGTTACAAATTTACCCTTTAACAAAATTTTGACCTTTGATCATTCACGACAATGACCTCTCCGCTGGCCACCACTTGCCGTAAAATCCCCGCCGGCCACCACCTCCTCCTCCTTACTTCCCTGATCTAGTGAAAAACATTTCTCAAAGAATTTTCTTTTTTCAGAAGTAGATGATGATGGAGAAAATGATTTCTTCTCCATGTCCGATGATTCTTTTTCTAAGGAAATGTCAGACTTTTGTAACAGAAGATGACGATGATAATTTCTCCGCTTCAATTGACGATATTGATGACGTTGATTCATTCAATTTTCGTATCTCTGTTATTTACCGATCGTCGCCAGTGCAGATCTCCTCCTCCCTTCCGGAAGCCGCCATACCCCTCTACTTTTCTTTCTAATTTGCAGCCCTAATTTGCGATGGTTTTGCCGTTTCAGAGCTTTTCCTAGCACCGGGATTTCACAATCCCGACAAAGAAGAAGAATAAAGGATTGAATAGTTCTATATTTTTTTCAATTTTTGTTCTTGAGTTTTAAATCTTTGATTGTGGGTTTGGGAGAAAACCAATCAAAAACTACTCCCGTCATCGTCTTCTATGGCAGGAGATGGGCAGTACATAATTTGGTTATTTAATATACATGGTATATTTGGTTATTTAAGTCAAAATATTGTTAAGTTTGACCAAAAATAAAATCTTTCATTTTAGTTAAACTGGACAATAATTATGGAACGGAGAGAGTATTATTCAGTGATTGAAATAACACGCATAAAAATATACAAACATTCACTATATAGCACTCCCTCCGTCCCATAATTATTGTTCAATTTGGATTTTATTTTTAGTTTAAATCATATTAAAAGTGAAATCTCAAACTGGACAAAAATTTTGGGAAAGAAGGAGTATCATATTAGTCACTAAGTCGTTCCTTCTAAATAGATTCACTATTTCCATCGGACACCCTTATTTTTATCTATCACTTCCACAATAGTAAGGATAAAATTACAACTGTGTTATTTTATTTTATTTTTTGTCTCGTGAGTAGAACAACTGTGTTAAAGTTGTGAACAACCATTGTCAAATCATGGACCATTAACACTTGACAGAGTTGTGTGAGATGTTGTTACTAGCTCTATCTTTAGTTAAGAGACCACCAGAAAAACCAGAAAGATACCTTTGGTTCCCAACCGAACAAGATTATAAATGTATTTTTCTAGGTTGCCATGAAAAAACAGTTGTCACACTATTTGGGAAATTTTCAAATTAAACGTTAAGCGAAAAGGGTGTGGAACTGGAAACACATTAAATGATTAACGTTGACAACACATAGTACATACTGCTGGGCCTGTGGGCATTCCTCCCTATTCTTCATTAGCTGTACAATTTTCTTACAGGCCCGTTATGTTTAAACGATGATGGACTCAGTCTTCTTCTTTCTTCCATGCGCCCCCACTTCTTCACCGTGCGTTCATTCTCATTGGGCCCAATTCGAACAAAATGTGAAAATCTCTGCAGCTTCACAAGCATTTCAGGACACCCAACACAGAAAACAACTGATTTGACATTTTCTGGATTTGGCGGATCAAATGGACATCATCAGGTAGTGGCAGACAATTATTAAACGCGGTGGTAATGATTAATGAAACACCCAAACTCCTCAATATCAGAAGTCATCCCAGCTATTTATTCTTAGGCAGACTCCGCTTTAGAGGTCTTAGCTGCGAATGCCCAAAGCATATTTACCTTTCTCTTTTTAAAATGAGGGTTAAAGAAAAAGACTGCAAGAAAAGAAAAGTATTCATCACAGGAGATAGAAGAAATCAAAATTTGTTATCTTTATATCATTGATCTATGGAAAAATTAGAGTTCAAATTCAATTCAATTGGAGGATGAATATGTACAATGTGACTCAACAAAAATGACATCCTAAGCAAGTAAAAACAGACTCATGAAAAGAATAACAAGGACCAACTTACAATTTGCCTGCTAATAACAAAATCGCTACTTTGAAGGCTACCACCAAACTCAAAATTAAAATATATATATGAAAAGGACAACTATTCTTTGACAGCCCCTTCTCCCTCTCAAGTCTCATCAACAATTTCTAAGTAAATCTTCCTATGACAAAAGAGATCTGGTGGTCATCGATTGCTCAACTTGCGCCTTTTGGCTTCCTTTCGCATTCGCTCCCTCCTTTCTTCTTCTTCTATCTTGCGTTGCTCCTCTTCATCTTCTAGACGAGCAATTCTTTCACTGCATAGCAACCAATGAACTATCACCTTATATGTAAACTAAAAGCTTGATGCAATCATTAGCAATATGAGTTAGCCACCCCCAAAAAAAAAAGGAAAAAGAAAAAAGGATTATGCCATTATATTGTTCTGTAAAGAAAGTTCTAAAGTTCATGGTGAACTAAAATTAGACAATCAGAACAAATCCACATTTACCCAGACTAAGAGAATGATATAGAAAACAGACGATTTGGCATCCTTCTAGTGTGTTTTCAAAACTACTAACAAAAGTCACATTAAATGCCCCCAATTCTGGTATAAAAGATTGAGTAGATACATAACGTATAAAACTAATATGTACAGCTTACCTTCTCTTTTCTTCTTTCAAGATATCATCAAAGTTGGCCTCCATGTTACTATCATCTGAATCATCATCATGATACTTCCGAGGGTTGTATCTAGGAAAAAAAGCAAAGAAACAGTCAGCATATACAAAACTTCAGAACAAAAAATTAAAAAGAACATAGGCAAGTACCCAAGATGTTGGATTTGAAATTTAGAGGGCAATGAAGTAAGAAGAGTATAGAAGAGGGAAAGGATGCTACTTACCCAAACATGCTCCTGATCATACTCAACGCATTTTCAGGATCATCATCATCATCATCATCATGCCTCAGAGGTCTTTTCCTAGGGTGTTCGTCTCGTGAAGTCTCACGAGCTACATTCTTGGGAGGTGGCCTGATTACTTGCTGGAAAAATAATTAATAAACAAAAGAAGTATTAAAGCAAGCCTCTTCTCGTATATAGATAAAGAGTATTAGATGGGATTTCACAAATATAATAACTAGACTAACCCTGGGTTTGGAGGCTGGAACACTTTGTTTGGATATCACCTTTGGCTTTGCTCTTACTTGATGTTCGTCCCTTCCCTTTGCCCTTTCTCTTAGATATTCGTCTTTCCTTGATAAAGATTGCCTTGAAACAGAAGGATGTTGCTTCGAAGATGCAGGTCTTTGCACAATAGGGGCAGAACTTCTTGGAACTGGTACATTGCCCTTCCTTTCAGATGCACCTACCGAAGCTTTAGGCGGAACAGTCTTTGTCATGACAGGCCGACCTGGACCACTGCCATTGATATTAGAAGAGGGAGCATTCTTTGACAAAACAGGCCGACCTGGGCCACTGCCATTGCTGCTAGAGAGCTGCTTCTTCCGATCTAATGCTGCACCATTAGTCGTACCAATATGCTTTCTGGAGTCCATTAATGCCCGAACTTGGGAACCCCCAGATGACAATCTATCAGTCCCAAGTCTGGGCTGCATTCTATTTCTGTCAACGGCAGTAGAGCTTCTCTTATCTTCACGACTGCTGAAATCCTTTCGCCCACTACCGCTAACAGAACCCTTGCTCCTTTCTGGTTGTGGTGCAGAACGCAGCTCTTCAACACCAAAAACCCTGTATAAGTTTCCCTCAATGATAAAATAATTTAAGCTTCACCAAGGAGCCAGAGAAGAAGAAAAGCAGAAGCATACCAGGTTTTGGAGCAGATATATTTCTAGGAGGGGGGACAGTTTTAGGAACAGGAACTTCCGCATCATCAGATAACAGAAATGAGTAATCCCTGGCATTTTTCAGTATCTCCACCTTTTTATGCTGCTGCAATGACCACAAAATAACAAGCACAGGGCTTTAATAAATGAGCATAACGCTGAGGAAATGTGGGTACAACTTCAGTGATCAAGGTGTTACCAGATTTGGAACTCTTGGTTTCTGTCCGCTTGATTGGGGATTTCGGGACAAAGATGAACCAGAGCTCTTATTACCCTGCAAAGAAATCATAAAACATCAACAACTGGGGAAAAACAGAGTACTGTCCACTGAAAAAAAGTTCGGACTCTGGAACTAATGCAAACCAGCGTACAATCGACTGTAACTCATTAAGGCAAAACCAAGGGGAGTTTAACGTATGCTACACCAGGAGGATTTAAAACCCACATTATCAACATCTACAAGAAACCAAATTAGATTTCACGCATTGAAAAACTTGCAACTATTAACAAAAATGATAAAATCCCCAGAGCACCCTGGGTATGAATAAAACATGCGCATTCCTAATACATCAACGGAGCTGAGTTTACAAAGCACCTTTAATAAAGAATTCTAACTTACACTTTGACTTGATTTGTTGATCCTCGTGGTAGAACTGGCAGTCTCAAGCAATGATTTACTTTCTTGAATCACTCTTTGAGCAATAACCGGTTGTGAAGGCCCAAAGAAGGAGCCAAAACTGCAACCAAAAAATTCCACTCAAACGTTAATTTGTTGATAGTCTAGAGTGCAGGCATTTAAATCTCTCTCTTCTCCCCAAATAACATGCTAGTCACTAGCTACCAAAGTACTCACCTATCCCTGGAGATCAAATTCTTCTTCTCGCGCAAACTGCCATTAACAGTCCCATTTTCTTTCCTCAACTCCTTTTTTTTTTGCTCTTTCAACTTTTGCCTCAGCTCAAGGTAGTCCAGAACCTCCTTTGTGGGCTTAGGCTCTTCTTCCTCGTCTTCATATTCATCTTCACCACCGCCTTCCACTCCATCATCTAAGCCATCCTCTTCATACTCATCTAAATCATCATAAGCCTGGATTCAGCAGAAGACTCCATGAATCAGACGCACTAACATTAGGAGGGAAAATATATTTATTTACAGAATATAAAAGGCAAGATTTCATACATATCTATCATATTCTCCCATGGGCGCATCAACTCAGAAGATAAGATTTTCCAGCTGCTTGATCTTCAGCGAACTGAAAATACAGGCAAATCATTTCACTTGACCAGATATGTCACAACATTAAACCAAATACAACGCCAACTCTCTGATAAACTTAAGCCTAATTTCATAGTAAATATGCACCAAATCAAACACAGTGCAGATACACATTTACAGTAAATTACACCAAACATAAGCAAAAATCATCAGATTACACCCTCTTTTCTCCTAATTCATTCACGTCAAAAAATAAGGAAAAGGTTCAATACTTTAATTTTTTCAATTAGTGGAAAACTCAATTAAAATTTGAACTTTTTGCATAAAATATTTGGGAATCGTTCATCTAACAATTTCACACACAATCCTCTCATCCAAAACCCGAGCGAAATTTTCTTGTAATTGTATTTGATGCAAAGAACAAATCGGTAAAGTCAACTCGCCTCTAAAAAAAAATGGGAAACAAAAGAAATAACCAACCCGCGTTCATCCATACCCCCAATCAAGCGAAAAATATTGAGATCCGTTCAGAATTTCAGATCCAAAAGAACTTTCAGAAGAGAAAAACTTTGCACCGATCAGACCAATCAAAAAAACAAAAAAGACCAGATTTTGGGAAGCCCCAAATCCAATCGAATGAATCTGTGAAGCTCATATCGGATCGGAAAAAATCCGCCGAAAATCAGAGATAGAGGAAAAAATATGACGAGATGCAATTTTGCCAGCACAAAATCAAAGCAAAAGGAGTTGAAAACCATACCTTAATCGATCAAAATAGCCAGCAGAAATCGTCGGAAGCGAAGAATAGAGGGAACCCGGATGGAGGAAACGCGGATCAAGTGCAAGGATAAGGAAGATAAGGGGGGAAAAAGGGGGCTTTCGGCGTAGGGCAGATCATCCAACGAGGAAAATAAAAGGAGAAGAAGAGCAACGGAAGGACCCAGAAACAAGGGGGCCTGATGCTAACCTGCGCATGGGGTGTAGAATAGCAAAGTAACCCCCCAAAAATTCCCAAAATCCAGACCAAACCGGGATTGGGCTTGATGACTGGGGGGTTTGTACTTGGGATTACACATCATGGTACAAAGTCCAGGGTTCGAATCCTGCGGACACATGTCCGATTTGCTTGACCCTTTTTTTTATTATTTTGGTTTTCTTTGAATTTCTTTTGGGGAATGAATACGGTAAAAATAAAAATAATAAAAAAGTTAGTTGAGGTCACAATAATGGGGTGGTGTAAAAGATTTGTAGGGAGCGTGCGGTTTGAGATTTAACCTTAATTCCCGCCGTGACGCAGGTCGTAACGTAAGTATTTATTCACGCGTGGTAAAATTCCCGAATTTCTTGTGCACAAAGAAAAGCCAAACAAAAAGTTTTTTTTTCCGAAAAAAAAAGTGAAATTAACGAAATATAGCTGATGCTGTATTTACTGGTGACTTTGACTAATCTCATAATTCGTTGCAAATTGAACGGTTAAAATACAAGATTTTGAGTTGGGCCGTTTATCTTCTCCCTTTTCCGTCAAATATTACAATTTTCCTATATTATATATTTGACATTCATCACATTAGTTTTTTTTTAATGGGTTTTTTATATTACCCTTTCAAAGTTTTATGATGATTAGTTTAGTCGCAATTGGTGATTAATTTTGTGTTATGGATAATTAATAATTACTCTCATCAGTAGTTTAATGACATTGGGATTTCAAATCTTAAGAATAATTGGGTGATTTCATGAGAATTTGTTATAATCATGCATTGATGTTATAGTAAAGGACGGAGCATTTTGCTTGTGTCTGTTTTAACAATGAAATTGGGATACGAGGGGACAGTAAAGTTCTCTTTGATAAAATTTAGTGCTTAATTTTGAATACTTAATGTTGAAATAGAAAGGTTGAATCGATTAAAGTGCTTACCTCTAAATGCTTAACATTTCAATTTTAATGTCTGAATGCTTAACATTTCAATTTTAACAGATTATTCGGTGAAGTTTCAATTTTAACAGATTATTCGGTGGAGTTCACCGCCACCGAGTAATCTGTTAACTAAATTTTATGATGTTTTGTAGATGAGGTGATTGCCAAAAAGATTTTCCATGGATAAAAAATGTAGTAGTATATTTTTTTTTCAAAAGTTACACTGTAATTGAGGGGTTTTTTAAACTGGCTAGTATCATTTTGGTATTAGCAAAACTATACACAACTAGTTCGATGGGAAAAAATACTAATCTTTGACTTGTAAGATCTTCCTTTTTGCGGAGAAAGGTTTTCCTTTGTACTTGATGAACCAGTACTCTACTTTGTTTTTGTTACTAGCATAAACTAATCCTCATATCTTCCATTCTTTAGGAGATTATCAACAAAGTCGATAACTGATCATACCAGAAACTGGTTTATACATTGATGTTTAATGTGCTACTGATGTAGAAGAAAATTATAAGAGGGCCAGTTCCACCAAGGTGGGGTACAATTATTTGCATCAATTTTGGAGAGGTAGTTCTCTTTTTATTGATCTTTCCCCAGTAATAGTAGAGATCAGAATATAGGGCCAGCTGCAAGAATTTCTTCTGTCAGCTTGTTGTCTTTCCCAATCTTATGGTTCAAAAACACTTCAAAATTTTTCTTGAAAAGTCCACCAAGCTTCAGCAGTGTGTCATCATAAGCCTTCTTATCCGACCACTGCACCACCAAAATCGATTTTGTTAGTTAACCTAGTAGAAAATGACTAATACATTTGTGTCATAACATCAATGTTTAGGGTAAAGTGTAAACATCAGAAGTAATGAGATGACAGGAAATAGAGAACTAACAGTGTTCACAGGATCCAGGATTTCTGAAGGTACTCCTTCAACCTCGGTTGGAATTTCAAGCCCAAACACATCAGTTTTCTTGTAGTTTGCATTCAGAAGGCTTCCAGAGTGTATGGCATCGATAATTTTCCGAGTATAAGCCAACTTGATTCGACTCCCTACGCCGTATCTGCAATATTTAGACGAGAAAAGAAATTAATCGTGATGTTTTCGGCCTTTGTTTCCACTCTTGAATTGAAAATCACTTTGATCCTAATTACCTTCCACCTGACCAGCCAGTGTTCACAAGCCATCCTGTTGCACCTTGCTGTTGCATCTTCGTAGCAAGCATGGCGGCGTACTTGGTTGGATGCAACATAATGAATGCAGCACCAAAGCACGCTGAGAATGTCGCTTGCGGTTCCTTTATGCCATCCTCTGTGCCTGCTACCTGAATTTTTGTTATGAAATGAAAATCAATGACTAGCTACATCGAAGAAAATTAAAAAAGATCACGACGATGTAAAGCTTAACGAAATTACAGAAGGTAATTTCAGAGATTGTAATTGGTACCAGAGCAGTATAGCCACTAATGAAATGATACATGGTCTGTGCCAGGTTAAGCTTGCTCACTGGTGGCAGAACACCAAAAGCATCACAAGCTAAGAGTATAACATTTTTCGGGTGAGGGCCGACGCATGGAAGTTTTGCATTAGGGATGAATTCAATTGGGTAGGCAGCTCTTGTGTTCTCTGTCAAACAAAGAAAGAAGTAAAATTCAAATAAGGATCTTGGAGAAGAAAACATTTGGATGATTCCAATACACCACGTTTTAAAGTTGATCGTACCTGTGACAGATTTGTCTGAATAATCGACTTCTCTTGTATGCTCATCAAAAACCACGTTCTCCAAAACTGTTATCAACAAAAAAAAAATGGCAACAAAACATTCAAAAACCAAATAGACAGATACAATAGAGCAAAAACAATGTGAAAATTATTACTGTACCAGTCCCAAACTTGATGGCATTAAAGATATCTGGCTCCTTTTCCCTCGAGAGATCGATGCATTTGGCATAGCAACCTCCTTCAATGTTGGACACTCCATTGTCACTCCAGCAATGTTCGTCATCTCCAATTAAGTAGCGGTTATGATCAGTAGAAAGAGTAGTTTTCCCAGTCCCTGGAATGTAAAATAAAAGAAAAAAAAAAAGTATCCACAAACATAAGAGAAAAGCAAAGGCAATTTCCAACTTCAAATTAGTAAGAGGAAACTAAGAAGACACATATCAGTTTTGGCAGGGCAAGTCTGAAAATCGAAGTCCTCATCCAATGATTACTTTACCTGACAAGCCAAAGAAGAGGGCAACATCTCCATTTTTGCCCATGTTGCAGCCAGAATGTAGCGAAAGGATTTGACGCTTAGGCATGAGATAATGCATAACACTGAAAAGGCCTTTCTTCATTTCCCCGGCATACTGGGTGCCGAGAATGACCATTTCTCTTCGGGCAAGGTTTAGGTCAATGCTAGTAGAAGATGTCATATAGTGTGTGTAACGGTTACAGGGGAATTGTCCAGCATTGTATATAGTAAAATCCGGAGTACCAAAGTTCTCCAGCTCTTCAGAAGTGGGGCGGATACACCTGTATGGATTGTAATTAGAAATAAACAAGTCCTTACATTTCTGCAACTTTCTTGTCTTTTACAATTTGGTTAACTCCACCACAATGTAAAAATCAGATTCATAGAATGCACAAAACATCAGCTAGAACAGAGTAAACTATATCTGCTTATGATTTACTTACATGTTATGCATAAACAAGGAATGGTAAGCTCTTGCTGATACAATGCGGACTTTGATACGATTCTCTGGATCCCAGTTCAGAAACTGATCGTTGACGTAAACCTGAAACCATCAAAAGCCAAGCTGATGTTTTGGCGTCCATTAATCCACCAAAAAAGGGGAAGGGGAAAAAAAAAACTAATATTTGATTGATTTATCATAAATTTAGGATCAGTTGACTGTTTGACCCAGTTTTTCTTAAACTAATCCTAACTCATGCAGCAAAAACCTCAGACGATTAAAATCTTAATCCAGATGGGATTATGGTAGTCATTTTTCCTGTGAATCCGACATGTTCTCAGTTTTCTGCACCGAATATTCATTCCATTTACAATATCACCAAAAAAAAAAAACAAAAAAGGGAAAAAAAAATGCACCCATGAAATTATATATGCAGACAAGACAGTTAGTTGTGGTGATTTGAGAAAGGATCTAAATAATGTCAGTCTGTCCAAATCAAATAAGGGGGAAAAAAAAGGACAAGTAAAGAAGCAGCAATCCTTATCCTCGGAATCTGGTTCTCAATTTCGAGGTGTTTCAGATATCTTGATGATGGTACTATGACAAACGATCCCTTGACGGGAGACAGAAAATGTTATCAATTAAAGTAGATACAAAAGTGATGGGGTGCATTACCTTTTCCAAAGAATTCAAGTAATCCACAGCCCTTTCTCTGTTAACCATGAAGGTATGTTCATCCATCTCAATGTTTGGCGATCCCCTACATATTTTCCGAAAAGGCCGAAAAAAAAAAACTAAGAATATGCTACTACTAATCCACAACACCATGTTTTCTTGGCGGAGAGAAAAAAACAAACTTGCATATTTGATAAGAATGGATTGCTTACTTTCCCCACCAAAGCTCATCCTCGGTTGCTTCATCTCTAACAACGCGTTTATCCTTTGGAGAACGTCCAGTTTTGGCACCAGAAAGCGTAGCGAGTGCACCCGTTGACGTTATGAATGATCCTTTCTCGTACTTAATGGCCTGCTCGTACAACTCTGTTCACCCAAAAAAATAAAATAAAATTGTATCCATCATCACAACTCCATATAATTATTCAGTATAATTAATTAATAAAAAATTAAGTTGAGAGAAAGATGAATTTATAATATTTACCGGCTGGAGAGAGGTTGTAGAGGACGTGAGTGAATTTCAAAGCACTGTCGCTGACATTAATCGTGGGGGCAACATGTGGGTGGTGGTGGTGTTGTTGGGTTACATGGGAAGTGATCCTCGGAGTTTCGGCCTTATTGGCCGGATCTCCTTTGACCACCTTTGGTCCGGTTTCTCTGGTCAGCGATGCTAATGACGCACTACCGGTGGTGGATTGGATGCACAAAATTAGTCACTCACCAAATTAATATATCCATAATAAGGATGTGACACAAAGAAGGATACAAAAACACTTGTACTAACATGTACTAATTGTAACACAAGATAACCAAATTTCTTCAAAAGGTTCACCACGTATTATTAATCTCTTCATCTAAGACAAATATTTTGGGACAGAAAAAATTACCTGATGGACTGGAGTTGTTGTTTATGACGCTCTTGGTCGGAAACAACGGCAAAAGCACCAAGAGTGCCGTCGAGGGGAGTTGTGGGAGCTGATTTCTTCTTCTGCAGAGAATGAAGCTCATCTATGGTCTGAGCCTTCACCGTCGGCGCGCTATCGTCGTGACATATTCCGCCGCTGTTATTCCCTTTCTCCGTATGAATCTTCGGCAATCCGTTCCGTCCTTCTCCTCCGTTCGCCGCCGCCTTTCCGTTCCCGTTCGTCGTCGCCATATTATTATTGATCAATTTTTTTTTTCCACTGCATATCAAAACCATAAATTTAGACAAACATAAAAGTAAATCACGAACCACTAATTCGCTTTACATTGGAGATAAAGAAATGACTCACCGAGAAATCAAAATTCAAAAATCGTAAAGAAAAATGAATGAGTTGATCACGTTGTGTAGATGAGACTAGATAAAAATGTTACGTACAATAAATGTGAGCGTACAGCTTTTAGTTCATTCTAAAGCAAAAATGTGACGAGATTACCGTATCCGGAGTGTCGTATATATAGGATTTGGGATTTACCTTGACCATACCTTTTAAGATTTCACTCTAGTTGTCTTAACTGGTTGACATTTGTAAGATCTTACATGTCCAATACTTATTTTGTCATCACACACGATAAACATTAATTTTTACCTTTTTTTGGCCATCTTATCTTCTTTCTTTTTTTTATTAACTTCTTTTGACACCTTCCCGCTTCATCAGGGTTGCTGATTCTGGCCATTGGCAATGAATACGCTGGAATATCCATTATTTTTTTTAAAAAAAAATTTTAGGTATCCTTACTGTATTTTCTGTACCAAATCTCTCATCAGACAATTAGATTATCCCAGGAAAAAAATGTACAAATTGCCAGGATCCGCTCTCTTTAATTCTCTCATCTTTCGAACTAAAATGCGTAAAATTTTGATATGACATTTATTTATAATCGCTTGAGATTTGATACTGTACATTGTACAACTTGTCATGGATAGGGTATTTTATTTATAATCGATTGGATAATGTGAAATAATCTCACGTATTTAGTGATATTATAATTAAATCATTATCTGATGAAAGAAATAGACATTCATTACTAGTTACGAGTTACGACCGATCTTTTGGACAGGACGTGATTCCCATGTACGATAATCTTGAATGGCTCAACCAATGATGAACTGGCTATACATATCTGATACCTCTAACTCTTCAGTTTTATCAGAGAACTGTCGTGAATATTATTTCAACGCCCCAAACTATAATTTTCTGCACAGAATATCAATCAGATAATGATGATTGTTGTTATTTTTATTTCATTTTATTTTCTGATTTCTCTCTGCTAAAGCCGACCCATTATGATTTGCATTCTCCCCCTAGATTTTAAAGCCTCCTTTCTCAATTTTTTTTCTATACGAATGTTTGGGTCACCCGAGATTCAGAATTGAGTCCGTGCTATTACATGGAAATCCATAGCCTATGTACGTTTGCACTTTCTGTAGCTAGCATAAAATAGTAATCGATCCTCAGGACATATATATTTAGTGGGTGAAGATATCTTACGGATTAATTCCTTTGCGTAAGTCATGCACATACTGTCTAATTTGCTTAATTTAATTTGTAATTGAGAAAATTCTTATTAAGGGAGTTGCAAATTTACTAATTTTTGGGAAGGGCATAAAAATTTTAAAATTCCTATAAATGGTGTAACAATGATTTAATTGGAGAAATTATTTTTCATGACAATTCTACCCTTTTGGTGTAATTATTAAAGATATGTTTCATTATTTTCCAGATTTTGTTGGGATCATTTCCCCGGTTTCCTTTTGAGCAATAAGAATCCTTCAAGCTTGTTGTGAAAGGGACTATGTTGTGAAACAATTGCGTTGTGAAATGGAATACAAATCATGATAATTTTGCATAGGAATAGGGAAGAAGTGCGTGTTCAAGGATGCAAGGAGAGTTCTTGAAGACCATTAATCTGTTGAAGATTGGCTGCAATGAATAGTTAGGAAGATAGGTACGGAAAATGAAATTCATTTTCTAAGACATCAAATATTGATGAAAGCCGCGGTGCATCTTCCGATGGGAAATATAGAAAATAGTTTGAATCGTGACTCTGGTTGATGAAGAATTTAGTTGGGCAAGCCCTTCTTTGAAAAACAAACAAGGTTCATTATTTAAAAAGCAGACATGTAAAGCGAATCTAATTTGGAAGAAAACACACAGAGTAGATTTGCATTAGAACTCTAACTAACTAATGTAACATTCATAGGAAAAATCAAAGTAATCAAACAAGGTTGCATTCGTATAAGACAATGGTTTTTGTATGTTCGGAATGCAGGTCGATTCCCAATTTGAAGGAATTAAATACATATTATTTCGGATCAAAAAACTTCTCTCAAAAGATGTAATTAAGATAAGGGGTAGGATTGTCATGAAAACCAATGTTCTCATATTAAATTATTATTACGCCCTTAATTAATAGGAATTTTAAAAGTTTTTTACACTCTTTTCAAGAATTAGTAAACTTGCAACGCACTTAATATGAATTTTTCCTTTGTACTAATAAAATCAAACAATACCCTTCACATATCCTTCTTGATTTAACTTGTACTCCCTCTGTCTCAAAATTATTATCCAGTTTGAGAATTCATTTTTAACAATTTAAACTAAAAGTAAAAATCTAAACTGGACAATAATTATGACACGGGAGGAGTATAAAAGAAAATGGAACCGGAGATAGTAGTACTTACAAGGTTGGACGATCTCAAAAACCCTTAAAAGTAATGGTCTGTCTCAAAAAAAAAAAAAGATTCACATTAAAATTTGAAATTCGTACGTACTAAAATTAATATAATTATAAATCTGAGAACTCTATACCCTTTTTTTTTGTGGCAAAAGATGGATAATATATATGGTGCTGTACTGCTGTTGATTAATGAGTTTAATGTAAGGGGACTGTGGTGCGGGAATGGGTTTCCATGCGAAAAAACCGTATCGATAAGGTGCAGTGATGAATTAAGGTGATGGTGGATGGTGGAAACCGGGAAGAGATGTGGGTTTCCATGCATGACCATGCATGGTGAGATAAAAGATAACAAGCAAAAACTATTATGCTCTATGCCTCTGAGGGTGACGATCAAGAGCGAGTTCTTTTCATCGAGTCACGGTTTCCTACTAAAATGATTATTTTGTTTTATTCAGTTTGTATTAAAAATAAAAATTTAAAATAAAGAATTATTTTGAGATAAAAGAAGTCTTGATTTATTATTTGAGCCTCGTACATAGTGTTACGATTTGGTCGTGTTAACTTGACAATGATAGGTCGATCATTTTGTTATTTCTGAGTAAATTGACGACGCCATGAAAGGGCATGGCCACATTTTGTTTGATATGGTAGAGGAAATTTTTGCGCAAATATATTCGATTTGTTATGTACTAGTATATGGACTATGGAGTATATTATACGGGAAAACGGGATTGTAACTAAAATCTCCCATTCCTCCTAGCAGAGACCTCAGATGCTTGCAGTGCAGATTTCTAAGTTTATTTATTCAGAAATCCTTAAAAAAGTGGAGATCGCAAATTCTATACGAAGTAAACGGAATTCCCGTTTGAAGAGAGCTTTCAAAATATATTGCTTGACCGTTTTAATAGGGATGTTTAACAAACCATAACACATACAAACTCGTACAAGCGTAGAAAAAAATTAGGAGATTTCCCGAAGACACGACTCAAAATGGACCAAATTCCGTTCCAAAAGAAACAAGTTTGGGAAAACAAACCTCTGACCTGGGGTGGAAGTGGAACTTTAATGATACAAAAGGTTAAAAGGCCCTCTTAGATGAAACTTGCGGATTGGTCGATGATGATTTATTAGTATATTATGCATAAACATAACAAATTTCACAAAATCCTGGCAGTCAGACCATGACTGACTTTCAAAGTCAAGGTTGTTTACTTCAGTCTATCGAAGTCTCCAATTTGGACAATAGAACTCGTTGCTACAACAGATTTCATTGGAAGGAAATAAAGAATATGACAAACGATTGATTCGGGTAAATTGCTAATCCAGATCCCACTGCAATACCATCGTCATTAATACCCTTACAACAGTACTTTTGGCGCTTCTGTGGACTCATCCTTTATTTCTTGAACCATGTGAAGATTATGAAATTATCAAATAGAACTGTGGAAGTTCTTAGTAGAGCCACCAGCCAGTTGCGAAGAAGTTTGTGGTCAACAAGAAGTTTTGAGAGTTTAACCAAATTGGTTGTCAAATTTGGTTATCCTTCTCAATGGAGCTGCCTGATATACTTGATCAATTGTTGTACCGCATTAAAAAATCTCGAGATTACTAAGTTGCCAGGTGAGGCGTCGGGTGGAGGGATCGCATTCATATCAATATCAAAAGTTGGAGGGATCATAATCTTATTAATTTTGGTTCCAGAAGCTCTTTATCCCGTCTCACTCAAGTTTCTTATAAGAGATACACAGGCCTTGATGATGAGATGTCAGTTTTATTGTTTATTCTAAATCCTGCCATATTGGCCAAGAGGGGTTGATCTACTCAAGGACTTTAGCGATGACTCTCCATATTTTGAACACAGATTTGCTTTTGTTTGAGATGAATGGGTTTAAGAGGATGATGATTTTGATGCCTTTTCATTCAAGAAGATTGGAATCACTACTGTTCAATGAGCTAGTAGTAGTATTAGATAAAGTTGCGCACATGTTTATTTTTCCTAGGTTACCAAGCTATAGAATGACATTAATCATATCCTGTTTCTGAGTTGTATCTTAGTTTGAAAAAAAGTCAAGTTTGTTTAAGACTACATGTTTGTGCATGTTAACTTTGTTGAATTTATTTGTTAAAAATTGTCAAGCACTGATGTCTTGATCTTGGTTGTTAATACTGAGCAATGGGGGTTCCATTTTTATGGATTTGATCACTGACGCGACGCTGATGAGTACTTATGCAGTCTTGAAACACCTTGGATTTCTGTCTCAAAAGCAGCAACTCATTGGCTAACTTGATTCCGTCACTTCTCTCTTGTCATCTCTTGTCATCATCATTAACCTTTCTATCAGCCAATTCAGACTCTTTAAAAGCCGACAAACACCTTTCTTTCAATATCCATTTTCCTTATCAAAATATCAGCATGCAGTCGGAAACATTGAACAACCTTTTTTTTTAACATTAGAACAATCTGTTTAGTGGAATCAGCTCCCTCCATGCACATCAGAAAGGAGAATGCCCCAACTAGAAAAGGATCACCTAATCAAATTCCAATCTTCTTTGAGTTTAAAATCATTAACCCTTATGTCTCATGGGATGATCATTTCCCAGCAGCATATATGAGACTCAGCAGTAGGACACTAATATTTTCTAACTATAAGACTGCTCGCCTTCCAGTTTCAAAACATCATTGTCAAAGGCTACCAAAGCTCGAATCCACCATGGAGAATCACGCCTTCA